TTGGGGCGTTTACACACAAAAGCACGTGCGTGAACAGGTCAGCTACCGATGCAAACGGGCCCTGAAAAATGCAATTTGTTGTTTGAGGTCAAAGACTTTCCAACCCTGACCGAGGGTGCTGTCTGATGCATTTGAAAATAGCAATGCCCTGAAGGCTCCGTCGGGGGCGGTTGACAAACCTGCTTCAGTTTATACGGATACCAATTTAATCAGTATAAAGTAATCTCCTCTGAGATTGCCTGACATCTTGAAAATTGGCCATCAGTCGGTCCCCCCAAGAACCGCAACCTCTCTCGCTGGTCTTTTCCCGCCGGATCGACTCAGTGCGTCCAAAGCCAGCCTCCTTCTCAGAAGGGAAGTTGCTCGGCCGAACGGAGTCTGGTGAGACAGTTGAGTGAACATAAGATAGCACAATCCCCCCATTTGGCTGTGGGTCAAAACCAATGGTACCATTTCAGGGTAGGTGCACCACCCATATTAGTCTATTTTGAGTGGCTGTGGGTCAATACCGTTTTGGGATCCCATTTTGGTTGGTAGGTGAATTCACCGCTCATTTTAAGGCTTCCTATTTGAGTGGTTGGATTGGGATGTGAAAACTGGGGGTATGACCCATATGGCCGAGTGAACATAAGCTGGCACAATCCCCCCATTTCCGTTTCATCCCAATTACCCAAAGGGGAATTGTGCCATCTACTCACCCTGGCGCAACAGGAAGCCTTTCTCCCTTGCAATCAAAAGGCGCCTTGTTTCTTCACTGGCTCATCTGCTCTGTGAGCATATGACAAACAGCACGTCTCGGGTTTGTCTGCCGCCCATGGACAAGTTCAATGACGCGGCGCTCATTTTTAGAGAGCTACTGTGGATGGGCGCGAAATCCATTTCGCACCGCCTAAGACACCCTGGAATGATGATAAATGCCAAAAAACAATGGTGTGCCATGGATTCAAAGTGGTGCGAAATGGATTTCTTCCATCCACAGTAGCACTACCTTTAGAGCGACTCACTCTGATTCCAATTGGCATTCTGCTTCTTTAGCCTGTGCCCCGCGGCCTTTGACAAAAGGACAACCCGTAGGGGTCATGGTTCCAAACAAAAGCTCGCCGGAACAATATATATATATATAAAATAATGAGTGTCGCTGGACCTTGCTTTGTGAAATGCACCTGGCAATGTTGAGACCAGATCAATCGAGCCCGCGGACTAAGGGGCTGTTTCAAACCCGAAGTAAAGGATCCCGGCAAAAACTAGACACCCACGGAAAAAATGGGGCGCTATCAATTCTGGATTCCCATTCACCCAGTGGCCCAGTGCATCTCGCTAGATTCGGTTTCGCATCAAGTCGCTAGCCGGAGTCGCCATTTTACATCGGCTTGCTGTCTTGACAGAACAAACGGATCCCCAGATAGTGTCATAAGCTGATAAAGGGGCCAAATTCCAAGGGTGGAACGCCGCACTTGGACTGTGCCCTGGGAATGCCACGGCTCTGGGAATGTCACGAACCTTCTAAGTAGTGGGTTGTGGGTCATTTGGATGGCTCCCAAACTTGCTAGGGCGCCTTGTGCAAAGGCCCGCACACCGCTCACATGTTCATGACTAAACCTTGAAACAAAATGACCGAAATGTGTTGGCAGGGTTGCACCCACCTTGTTTGAACATGCTCATGCTTCAACCCTTACTATTCAAACCACCTGATTTTGGTCTGAGGGGGGCCAGGGCTTGTTTGTTTAAAGTTTAAACCTAAAACAACATGCTCCCAGCCCTACTTTGTAGAGGTCCGGCTCCATGGTCCTTTGACGCCGACACGTTCAAACGCATGCCGCTACGCACACAGCTCACGCGCACCCGCGTAAAGAATTCCACTATACAGTCAAGTTGTTGCTGTTACGACCACGCAAGCAGCAAACACAATTTGCTGACACACACCTGGCAACATGAGACTTAAAGAGAGCTGAAGACCCCTGCACAAGTTAGTTGTCACTCGGCGTGGCGCCCATCTGTGTGAAAGCTCCCTGACGTGATCGCGGATCCCTTTGTGATGAGAATCGATCTTTCTACTCTAACCTTCCCGAAAGCCAAGGACCCAGGAACATGGTAAAGCCAAGAATCGGAGGTTCAATTGATGCAATGAATGTTTGGGTGCGTAGCTGATGTCCTGGATTCAAGCACCTTCGCCATGGGCTTGGCGTCGACCTCAATGGAGTTCACCAAGTACTTGCAGCTGGTCTGCAGTGATCAATCACTTGGGCCAAGCGAAAAAAAACACAAAGCGCCAACGCCTTGGCTTCGCATCCGCGAAAAACCGCGAGGCTGAGCGCGCCCGCTCACTTTGGCGCTTCGGCGATGAAACAAGTAAAGGCACCGGGCAGCAAGAACGACCGTCAGCATCTCTCGGTTGACGCTGGAAGGGGAGCAAACACTGAAACACTTTAGCAGTTAAGTGGGGATTTCCCGCTAAGCCACAATAATCACAAAAGCAAAATGTTTCCCAACAACCACCATGATTAGCTGCTTGGATACATCCCATTTGCAGACCTTTGCTTGCTTGTAGCAAAAAAGGCCATCCATTCCAGCACTTTGGACCGATCTGATCTAATCTCTGATTCCGAGGGCCAGTCAAGGCGAGAACCAACCAATCCTATACTCTGTGTGTGAATGCTCCTCAGTGGCCGCCTTAATCGTCCTCGATGCCACTATTAGGCTGTAATGGCTCGAAGTGCGATGCCTCTGCAGCAATAAGTAAAGCGCAGGCTTTCGTTTCACTGGTTTTAACAAGCCTTCCCTTGCTTGACTCACTTGACTCTGGATTGGGGATTCAACGCGGTCTCTCACGAGACCAGATGTCCGGTAAGCTCCGTCAACCCCATCGCAACTTAGCCCCCTCCAGGGCGTGCAAACATGCGAGTGGAACCACACAAATGGGTTTCCAGGGTGGGGTTTGTAACTGTTCGTGCTTGGGAGAAGACCCAAGTACGAATGACTTCCGGAGAATATTGCAAGTAAGCCAACCACATCTAACTACCAAACCCTGGAACAAATTGGTTCCGTATTATTTGTCTCATTTTTTCTCGGCCAACAGCGTAGCACACACGCTTGACCAACCACCACAAGCATAGTCTTCTAAAGAGCACACACAACTGACCTGTGTTGACTGGCTGAACAGTTTTAGCTTGCTGGGCCTGTACTAATTCGTAATGTTAACTTCGGATTCATCGGCAAGACAGTAATTGCTAATCTTGGGTGGTTTCCTGTCCAGCAAGCAAATGAACTATGCTAGAATGACGTACAGGGTGTAAAGTTACTCATGCGATCGCATGTGAGCATGTTATCGCATTCGGCCTCCAGATTGTTGGCGGTCCTAGGTGCAAGAGTTGTAGTAGACTATGACAACCCCTGCCTGGCTTATTTCTATATTCGCAACGAGATTCCGATGATATTTGTGAAAATTATTAGCCAAGTGCAACAACTTGTTGGTTACCACCAAAATATGTTCTTCAAAAAATATGACGTCCAAGACCTCACGGAGTGAGACTACCCACATGATCAATCCCGATCGCCCTGTCCGCCCACGCGCCATCCTTCGGCTGGCTTAGAGGACTCAGGCTGAAGATTCCGTTGGGCTTATCTGTGAAGCAAGGTCAAAGCCTAAGCACAAGACAGCCCCCTACCTTAAATGGGTGTACGGGGCTTTTACATTTTTAAGGTAGGGGGTGACCTGACAAAAGCAACACTTGTCTGCACATGAGAAACGGTTGGTTTGACATCGTTTTGCTTTTGAAAACCACCTCAGCTACCAAGAATCGTGGAAACAGTGCTGAAAACTCATTGAAACAAAGCACCGGAGTGCTCTGTGGGGCGGGGGCCAACAAACAGGACAAGTAGTGGAAAGGCAAAGAAACGCAGGGGACAAGAAGGGGGAGGCTATGGGGAGCTGCAGTGGAAAACATGGGACTTGCCGCTAACAGGCAGGTCCAGCTACATTCAACCACCTTTGCCTATAGGTGGCCTTTTGGACAAATAGATGGCCCTGGTAAATAGAATAAACCCCATCTAAACCGGGGCCCTCCTTTTTTTTGAGCAAACCAACCAAAAGGACACCTACGCCGCCTGTGCCACATAGAGTTGTCAGACAGAGTTAACTCAGGAAGTCACGGAGCTCTGAAACAGTCAGGAATTGCCAAGGAATGACCATGGATCGAAGATTCATCTTGGTTGACGTTGGAAGGGGAGCATTTTTTAGCAGTTAATTGGGGATTTCAACCACTAGACCACAAAAAGCAAACATGTGAAATGCTTCCCAACAACAACCATGTCATGGAGTCATGGGGAGAACCCACAGAGTTATTCGGCAACTTCAGTGAAAAGGCCTCAGACCCATTGGAAGCCCATCATAGTCACATTCCAAGCAGTCCTGAGACCCCCAACTGGAATTCGCGAGGTCAGACATAAAGACACAAATAAGACAAAATCTAGGAACTGCATTAACATAGGGCCCCTTAGATGTTGACCCTCCATGATCAATTCCGGGTTGGGCCTTCGGGCCATCTTTGCCAACAAGATCCCGGCTACCAGACATCTTTAAAGCAGCTGCTTTCTCAGCTCGATTTAGCCACTCGCCTAGCCATTCTTTGTCAACAAGCTTGCAGGTCCCACATCTGCTCTGCGATCCTAAAACGCGTTTTCTGCCATGGGATTTCTGACCCACTGGCTAGAAACAGCTCTAACTCCTTGGTACACTTTCATACACTTTCATTTGCTGAGAAGGCCCCTGGAAAAAAAATAACAATATTTCCAGTAGTGATAGATTCCCTTTTCAACCAAGAGGGAAACAAAATAACATAAAATATATATATTAAAACAAAAAGCAAATAGAAGTACAGAGATTAGTTGAGGGGGCATGGAAGCGACACGGGATGAACTTGGGCTCTTGAAGCTTCAGCCGAGTCCATCTGCGCCAGTGGTGATTAGCAGTCCTTCCCGCCGCACTCACTTGAGATGTCGAATCACCTCAGGTACCGTCTGGCAAGGACCTCCTGCAAACATGACTTGTCCTGCAAACACAACATGCAACACTAGGTCTTCCAGTAGAGAGGGTAGAATAAGGGTACCAACTTTTTCTGTAGTCTACTTTAGTAGGGGAACCCTCCCCCCAAAAGAGGGGAGATAAGGGCACTACTGGGGGACCTAGAACAGCTACTTTCTGTATGGATTGGCCAACAACAAAGTCCAAACTTGTTGTCCACCTAAAAATTGTTTTCCCAAAGAGCTATCAAGCCGGGAAGCTCGGGCAAGACAAGAAGCACAGCTCAACAAACAATTAGACATCGTGGATGGACATAATCCTCTTCGCGAACCGAGGTGGAATGATGAAACCCTATACTGGTTAATAAACCACCTACCACTGCAGGAACTGGTTTCCTTCCAAATGAGTTGGTGCAACTAAGACTCCAACTTTCCAGGGACGCTTTTGCAGACCCAGGCTTCGTGCTGGGCCATTCAAGGCTCAAGACAAACGACGTTGACATTTGGCTTCGAGTCTGGTGTTTGGTGTCGTGGCTGCCGATGCTTTGGCTTCCGCTTTCGGTGACAAGGGTGGTGCTTAAACTGCCCACTCCTTGCAACCCAATTCAACCAACCCCAGAAAAAAAAAGAAAAAAAAACGGCCACCCACTTTTGGTAGGTAGTCTTAGAAAGGGGGAGTCCCCCCTAAACGAAAAACAACACACACAAAAAGAAAACAAACAACATTTACACACAAAAAACGGCCACAACAAACATGTACACGCAAAAAGCCACAGGGCCAAAGCACCCCGCAACGCGAACCTCCAAGTTCACGCGCCTGTAGCCCTCTGGCCATAGACTCCGCGGCATCGCCTGAGAACCGCCGAAAATGAGTCACCATGGATGCGCAAGGAAACCGAAACCGCCGCCCGGTTTCGTCAGATCCCCGGCTAAAAGTTGATGACTTTTCGTGGCCTTGGAACCCCCGTGCTACGCTAAAAACAACAAACAGCGAAGGGGATGGCTGGGAGCCACCAAGAAACCAGTCACACCACTGGGGGAGGTTGTGTTGGATTTCGAACTTGTTCCCTTGCAATATGCCAGGGGCAGCACCTGGGAGTCTGTAAAAAAAAAAAAATGGTAGGTAACCTTAAAATGCAGACCAAGAGAGGTCGCATCATCCAATTCATCGCATTCCCAAACATCAAAGGAAGCGTACACATGCTCTGCAAAATCGCTTGAAACCCGAAAGAAGATCAACTTTCTGCAAGCCGGCGCTAAAGAGGGGGGGGTCCCAAGCAACCTCAGCCTTGGCCCTCAACCAAAAACAGTTTGATCCTATGGGATGACCATTCGGGAAACCACCGGAAAGAAGTGGCTTTTACCGCTTCTCTGAGGGCCATGACCCCTGCAAACACCTTGCCCTGGAACCAGGTTCGCAGGTTGGGGCCCAAAACTGTCGCGACCCTGAGGGTAGATGGAAACAGTGGATCAGCCCCCATGTAATGGAAATTGTAACCTTCTGGAACCTGCCTGAACCCGCCAAATGCCAGAGGGTTGCCCAACCGGTTTCGCACGTGGAAAAGATGGAGTTGCAAAGGTCATGGTGGTCAAACCCCGACCGCAAGGGCTGTGGCAAGTCCAACGTCTCAGTTCAGGATGCGCTGCGCTCTCAGCTACGCTGGTGTCTCAAAATGGGGGGATCCCCAAAATAGTCAGTTTCGTTTCGGTGTCCCCTTAAAACCGGCTCCTTCCAAGAACACACCCCTTGTTGAAGAAATCCAAAGGCGTCACTGCCATTTTTCGTTGCTGGGTGCGGGGCTGGCACGTCGGCCCGCAAGCAGGGCCTCGGCGTCTGCTGACAAGAAACGGAAAAGGCGGCCAGTCTCGTTGCTCCGTTTGAGAGGGTCCTTTGGAGGTTTAGCTCAGTATCACCTGTTATATGCGCTTGGCTGCTTGTCCTAGGTATGGTCAATGGCTGACCCTCCGGAGGCGGCTTTGGTGTGTCACCTACTATACCGTGTCATACGGCCTTAGAACGGCCTTGAGCTTGGCTTATCCTGGGCTTCTCGAGGGATGGCAAGGAGTTCCCACTTGCCCAGTGGCCGTTTTTGCTTGGCTGATTGCACTTTCCCATTCTGGAACCCGCCAAGAAGAGGAAACAAGGTGCCACTGAACAACTCGGGGTTAGGACCAGGAAACAGTCCCATGTCAAATCCTTCCGCGTGCTTCAACCTTTGCCCCCCATCATGTACGAATGTACGGTGGATGCCCCACCGCTTTTGACCACACCCTGGCAAATTGGCTTAAATTACATGACTGGAGCCGGGAAAATCAACACCCCATTTGCTTAATTTATCTTGGTTGCTTATCATACAAACTAGCCACTCGCGCATCCCCGAATACCGCCCAGCCTACAAGGTGTGTCTTGTTCTCCTACTTTCTACAAAGCAGTTTGGATGCGCTTCTTGTGGATTCCGCCGGTTCTTCCTTGTGTTGGTCCTTTGTTTGTAGTCCAGCAGTGGATTCACAAAAGGCACGTCCTGCCTTTCCAGGCGCTAGTCATATCCACATATACGTACATATATATGTATATATATATATATATTGTGCATGTAAGTGCGTGAGTGTGTGCTGTGTGGGTGCGTGGGTGCGTGGGTGGGTGGGTCCATGCGTACGTGGGTGCGCGGGTGCGTGGCTGTGTGCGTGTGTGGGCGTGTGCGTGTGTGCTCTTTGAGGGTACCGTTTCCAGGGAAGCCAAATGAACACCCACCATGTCTCCAGGCTCCCTATTTGGGCACATGAGAAGTGAAAGTTACTCGTGAGCCTTCCGTGGGCATAGTTCGTGAGTTCCATCTCCTAAACGAAGCATAGAACGACAACCACCAACGACAACCACCAACCACCAACCACCAACCCACCAACCAAGTGAAGCAGAGACTGCTGAATTTTTGTCAAAAACCTCAGTACATGGCTCCAGGCACCGTACCACTGGCTCCAGGCACCCCGGCGCCGGGGACCGAAATGTCTCATCCACCTGGCACGATGGACGACGATGGATCTGAGATCTCTGTACTGAACTCCTGGCCATTTACTAGGAAATCAATTTTGCAAGTGGCCCAGACTTCCCACTGTGCGAGTGAAGCCATGAGCCAAATCGCCTCCTTGAGCGAAGCGAAGCCTTCGACAGCCGCCAACGAGTCGCAGCTGCTTCTGTCCAACAGACTGCACATGGTCCGCACAGATTCCCTCGGACAGTGAAGTATGCGTCGGTCTTGAGCGTGGCATACAAAGTTTCATCGTTGGCCTTGAAAGTGGCGGGGCCAGTACCACTGATTTGCCATTTTCAAGAGCAGCCACAACAAAGCATGACTTGCCAAATGCTTGGGTCAACAAGCATAGCCAGTTAAAACAATCTAAGTAATGGGAATGAAAGCAACGTTTCAAGGTTTGCCAATCGGCCACCAAATAAGCCGTCACACACAGGGGGTTGCCCGCAAGAGGCATTCATTCCCTGTAATGTCCAACCTTGTTTGCAGGGTCATAATCTGAGAGTAAGTCTTGGCAGTACGAAATTTACCCACAGCCCTCGAGGGTTGCCATCAGCCCTGAACCCACTGTGGTCGGGTTTAGGTTTAGGGTTCAGGTTTAGGGTTTAGGTTTAGGGTTCAGGTTAGGGTTTAGGTTTAGAGCCTCGGTTTAGGGTTCAGGTTTGGGGTTTGGGTTTCGGGTTCAGGTTTAGGGTTCAGGTTCAGGATTCAAGTTTAGGGTTCAGGTCAAGGATTCAAGTTTAGAGTTTAGGATTGAGGTTTAACTTGTGGGTTAAGCGTTTTAGGTTTAGAGTTTGGGGTTGAGGTTTAGGGTTCAGGTTTAGGGTTACGGTTTGGAGTTGGGGCTTAGGGTTCAAGTTTCGGGTTCGGGTTGACATTCAAGTTAGAGCCCCGGTGATTAGTTCCACTGTTGAGGGGGGCGGGTAACATCAAAGCAGACCCAATATCAAATTGGTGTCTCCACCAAACGGTACTTGCTCTTGTGGCTTCCCTTTAAAACCAATCGAACAGGGCACCCTTCACACAAAAAGTAAAACACAAAACGCAACAAACAACAACACGACAACACCATAAAGGGGCCGTTCGTGTGAACCCTGTCTTGGTGGTTGGGTGGACAGCGAAAACGACTGTTCACGTCATATTGAAAACATGTGTAATATAGCCATACATCCCATACCTCTTCTGTCCATGGCAAAACAAGAAAGAAAAAGGGGCAACCTCCGCAAACCCATCTTCGCGAATTCCCCCCTACTTTTCTTGAAGAAGCATGTTCAACACAAAACGCACGTTCATTATTAGCGGGCCCCTGGGTTCGGGTGCTTCATGATAACTGCTTTGGTTCCGATACAAAGTGCTCTTTCCTTGTATGGCATATATATATATAGATATACATATATGTATATATATATATAGATATACTCGGTTGCTTTCTGCTCCCCTGCTAAAAGTTTAACTTTTGGTTTAATGGAACACCCATTAGTTGGCAAAACGTGAAAGTCCTAACATCCCTTGGCAAGATGCACCAAAGTATATATGTATCCAACATTATATCTGTCAATGTTGCTCTTCCTTCGCTAAAACTCTTCAAGGATCTCGCTCACCAAACGCGCTGTCCTCAACTGCCTCAAAGAGCGCGAACACTTTCCGTCAAAATGGCGCGGGGGGATCGATTCCTAATCCGGATCCTAAGCAATGGAACGCCAAAACGCCAAAACTCTACAGTTTCGAGGAGGTTTTTGGAGAATCCACCCCTGGATACTAAAAGAGTACTAAAAGATTACTGAAAAAGAAGTCTAAACCGGGAGAGGGACTGGTGAAATCCACAGAAAGCGCATCCAACCCGGTTTCTCGAAAACAAGAGGCAAGTTGTCTCGGATCAATGTATCTGGAATCGATATCCTCAGATTGGTGAAAGGAATTTTCAGAAAGGGTTCCCTGTGCATTAATCAACCTCCGATATGTGGCCAGTGGATGGGTGGCACGTGCTTGTACATCTGATTTATCCCAATCAGCGGGCCCCGGTGGCAGATAGAATCCGCAACGACCGGCTCATTGTGAATCCCAGATCCGCCAAATCAAGAGGTCAAACCAAACGGGGGAAGCGACTGGCGGGTTCATGGGCTGGGGGCTCAACAAGAAGGGGGGGGGGGGGGCAAAACAGCGGGGGAGCCCTCAACTGATCAGCAAAAATCTCAAGCTGTTCGAATGAAAATTAAAAGAGGACACTCGCAAGCAAACACTTTTTAACCTTTGCCAGCTGAAGGGGGCAGGCGTCCTGAAGAGAATTGCCCTGACAAGGCCTTGCCTGCCAAGTCCACATGCCAGGGCTGCAGAGCAGCCGGGGCTCCCTACGCTTCCCTTAAGCATGACCCCTACCAAGGGAAACTCAGCTCTGGGCCCATGGTTGACCTATGAAAAGGGGACCAAAAAAGAAAAGTTCAGAGGATTTGGATTTCAACCGAACCACAAGAAGCCGGACAAAAAATGAAAAATGTGTCTCAACCACCAGGTGGTGTTGAAAGCGAAAAGATTGCCCTGGACTGGGCCCCACCGACAGCGAAATGGGCATCATCTGACGCCTCACGTCTCGCTCCGGCCTGCGTAATGGGTTCTGCTGGCACCACCTGGTCAGAATGTGTGTGGAATGGGACCCCAATCTGAGAACATCAAAAAAGATCGCTCCAAAACCAATGGGCGGCACTGATCAATAAACAAACAAACACGGAGAAACTCTGTCCATCCAGTAAACAATGTTTTGGATCAAACTCATATGGAAGTATCGAAAATTGGACAAGTCTAATCCTGGCATTACCTTTCCGAAAAAAGGGGGCGGCGTCCTTTTTGACGCCGCGTTGGCCGGGTGCTATCTGTGAGGGGAGAGGAGTTTCCTTTAGGGGCGGCCCACCCAACCATGGAAGCATAAATCTGGGTTGTGTCAAAATAGGGGAACCTCACAAACATGGGTGGTTTCCTGTTGGCTTGCCTTTAAATCAAACCCCAAAGGGGTACTTCTTAAAAACACAACCCCATTTTGTTCTTTTCACAGAGATGAAGCCAGACGCCGCTTCGCTCTTGCGCCTGTGGCGACGGGAAGGCCAGCGACTGCTGCCTCAGAAACGTCCGGAGTTGGGGCTTTTGATCTGGGAAGTTCTGGCAAGGAGCTGGCGACATTTTCTGCCGGTGACAGCCCCAGACACTTGCCTCAGGGAGAAAGTCATCCTATGAGCAGTATTCTAGGTCCTCCAGTAGAGAGGTTAGAATAAGGGTACTCTTTTTCTTGAGTCTATTTTAGTAGGGGAACCCTCCCCCAGAAAAGGGTAAAAGGGCACTACTGGGGGACCTAGTATGATTAGGGACTGGACCTGCAAGTTCACCTGTTCCACAAACATGGAAGTTGTTGCGGGAGTGACATGACAAACTCTTCGCACGGATTCTTAGCTCACCGGGGCGTTGCACATTGGCAGGGCCAACTCCGAGCACCCTTTTGTTCCGCCTCAGTGCCCCTCTCCTCCTCCTCATGTACTCACTTGACCCAGGGACTTCTTTTATGAGGATGGTTCGTCGCGAAAGAAGAGACGTTTGCAATTGGACATGTAAAAGACAAATATGTCCGCAACTCCCCCGGGTTTTCCTCAACCATCCCGGAAGCCGCCCATGAAAAAAGGACCCGTTCGCTGGACACCATCATTTGAAGCCCCGTAAACAGTCACACACACACCAAGACATGTGCATACGTGTTTTTGTTTGGTTCAGGGCACCCTAAACCAAAAGCACCACCGCCATTTTCGGGTTCCCCTATTTTGTCACACACCAACATCAACAGGTCCACATAACGAATCCCCCCAGCATCTGAAAGAGGCAGCAAAGCTGGGCCAACCTGCCACATGAGGCTAGAATAGACGAAACTCCCATGGCAACGGTGCGTCTGATGCGTGCGGCAGGAGCATGGTCTTTATACAAGCTTGGCACCCGATTCGAGCCCAAAGGACTTGGGAAGGGATCTGATGGACGGTTCCTTGGACTTCCTTCACGTCCGGCCCAACTGTTCGGAGTCTTTTGCTTTGGAGGTAGCAAACACACGACAGGACGGTGGGTCTATTCTTGGTTGACGTTGGAAGAGGAGAAAAAAACAATAGCAGTTTAGTGGGGATTTCAACCACTAAACCACGACAACAAGCAAAAATGCAAAATGTTCCCAACAACAACCGTGTATTCCTCACTGCGGCCACGACTGGAAACAACCACTCTTCATGTTGGTTTTCCAGCAACACCGGCTCAACCAGAAGGAGCACGGCTCCTGGTGCCACTGGTGTCTCAGGTGCAAGCAGTCCAAAAATGTCTGCGGACTGCGCAAAGCACCCAAGAGCCACGTGCTTTGCTGCGGTCCGTCTTCAGTGAGTCGTGTGACAATGTAAACCCACTGCAAAACTGGGCTGCCCTCAGATCCCCCGCTTCTTTTTTTAAAAAAATGGCAGGTTAAATGGAAATCCGCACTACAGACTAAAAAGCTAAAAAGCTAAGGAACCGGATGGCTGGGAACCAAAGAGAAAAGTTGTTCCAAGATTCCCGGCAGCCGTGTCACTGGCACGTGCTCTGGGCAACCGAGCTCGAAGGAGAGTCTCAGCTGAGGCGCGCGCCTATGCAAGTTGTTGAGGCGCTTGACGAAAGCCCAAGCTCCACCGCGAGAAGTCGATGGAAGGAACAACACACTTAGGCTTGGTTGGCGTTGGAAGGGAAGCACAAAAATAAAGTTTCCCACCAGTCACCAAACCACACTAAGCAAACATGCTCCCAACAACCATGTAAAACACGAAAGCTGATTCTTCCATTCAATTCTCATGGAACAGCACAAAACACTTAGGCTTGGTTGACCTTGGAAGGGGAGCCACAAGTTCAGTTTTAGCAGTATAGCGGGGATTTCAACCACTAAACCGCAATAAGCACAAATGTAAAATGTGTCCCAACAACAACCATTCAACACACTTAGGAAGACTTAGTACAGGCGATGCGTGTTTAGCCTGGTGTGCTTTTTGCTTTTCACGTGAGGAACATGATGCAGCAGATTTATCAAAACGGAGAGTTGATCTCTCGGCTGTCTCATGATTTTTTGGGTCTCCGTCAAAAACACTCGGAACATGCCCAGATTCCCACTGGGAAGAAGTATCGGCACTTGTTGGAAATTCCCAACCAAAAAGAGGAAGCAAGGGAACCCACACCCGCCCGAAAGCCGAAAAATAGCAGCCAAAAACAGAGCCTTCAATTATTTCAATGGGACCCCCGCCCAACGAAACAAAGGAAACCAGGGCGCTAGGTGTGGAGACACACCTTGCCGGCTCACTTTTTGCTAGAAAAAAGGCTTCGGACGTCGCCTGCTCGGGCTTGAAACTGCCCTCAACTTAGGTAAGTCATATTTCTCCCAGTGGCGTCGAAAGGGAAATCAACAGGAAATCAAGCAGTCGGGTCTCAAATGGCTGTGGGTCACAACCCTGTACCCCTGGTGAACATCAAAATAGGTGCTACATGGGTGCTCATCCGCCCCAAAATGGAGGCATAGGTTATGACCCGCGTCCAAATCTAAGGTTTGCTTCCTCTTGGTTTCCCATTCAACGTCGTTTTAAAGGTTCTGCGCAACCAAGACCTCGATGGAAAGAAAGGGTACCCCTTCCTTGGTCGATGTTACAGGGAAACTTCCTCCACAAGAAGGGGGAAAGGCCATTCTATTGTTGGAGGGAGTTCAATCAAGACAAGAAAAGCTGAGGCAAACCATCAAACGACAACACAGAAACAACAAGCCAAGCATTTGACCAATGAAGCAACAAACCTATTAAAAGACACAACCGACCAACCCACCCACCCACCCACCCACCCACCCACCCACCCAACCAACCAACCAACCAACCAACCAACCAACCAACCAACCAGCCACCCAACAACCAATAAGCAGAAAAACAGTAAGCACAGCAGCGCAACCTCGAACAGCTCAGGAACTTCTGAAGCAGTGATACCCTAAGACCCTTCAGCTGACATTTCAATGGAGTTTCTGAATCACCCGCCAGCACTGGTCCAATGGGGACTCATTCCCAAGAACATATTATAACCATTCCCAACATGGGGAATTTCGGCCGGCCCTTGTGGACAAATATTTTTGCGTCCTTCATGTTCTCCCCACTGACAATGCACCACCCGGTACCCGCGGATGGCCATGAGTGACCACCTCTGGGCTACAGCCAGGACGCCATTTGACAGCCATGGCAGCCAGTAATGCTGTCAGTTGCTAGTATGGCCATGGCTCAAAATTCAAATCGTACCCCCAGTGAACATCCCAATCCCAAATAAAATTGGCTAAAATGGGTGGTGCACCTACCGCGAAATGGTACCATTGGTGTTGACCCACGGCCGTATGGGTCCACATCCGCTGTTCATTTCCGCTCGAACTCTGCTTTGGCACCGTCCGGCTGAAGCAGCTCTTGCGGCGTCTGGGTGTCCGGCGGCGGCGACAGCAGGCGGGCCCTGGAAAAGCGCTCGCGGACTCAACGCCCAAACCCAGGCGAAAGCTTCGTAGTCCTGAAATTGCCTTGAAATTCTAGGGGTACCTTCCCCATTGTTTCCAGGGATCCTTCTTTTCAGGAAACCATCAAACACCCCGGGGGGGAAACAGCCGGGTTTCGAAAAAAACAACGGTTGAACCGAATGGAAAAGGAATCAAACCCTAGAGAAATGCGGACATCGAATCAAGTTTTGCGGCTTCCCCCAAAACGGCGTGCCAGTGGAGAGCACTAAAAAACATGTTGCATGGTGTTCGCAACAAGACCCGCTACAAAAGGGCACTAGATGTTTTGGTAGTTGACTTCAACGGGCACCCCCCTCAAAAAACAAATGAAAGAAGAAGCAACCCACTGGTCTGGGAATCTTCGACGTCCTTTGTGATGCAAAAAAAACAACTCTTGCCGGCTGGGCATCTGGCGCGTCCCAGTCGAAAATCGCTGGCAAGGCTTCAAGACCAATCCCAACCAATGCGCTGCAAAGACAGGTCTACTACCGGGTTCCGATTGAAGGGTTCGCCCTTCCTCTCCGGTTTGTTTTGATCAGCGAGGAGTTCTCTGGAGGCAAAGGTTGTTCTGGATCCCACAAGAGCAGCCAAAGCAGCAATGAGAAACAAGAAAAGCTCAAGCGCTGCTGTGTTCGTGTGGTAATTAATTCCACGGCTCAAAGGGAGGAGACAAGGCAGCCGACTTTGGCGCGCTAAGGAGCCGGCTCTGCTCTATAGTGTGGAGAAAGCAAGTGCGACCTGAGAGGTGGCGAAATGAAGGGCTCCGACAAGGGTGTGCCTAGGTCCTCCGGATTTGAGAGGTTAGAATAAGGGTACCGTCTTTTTTCGGTTTTGTCTATTTTAGTAGGGAACCCTCCCCCAAAAAAAGAGTGGGAAAGGGCACTAGGTAAACTACTGGCGGATCTAGTTGCCTGGCGAAATCTAAGTTTCCGCGGGCAGGATATTTGGATACATTCACGTGCCAAAGAACGAGCTCGTTGAGGCCGCGAACCCCCTAGAAATTGTTCTTGCGCGAAGGAGATCCACCGGGGAAAACTTAAGTCGTGCAAGGGGGCGATACAAAGTTAGAAGAAGCCAACACCTGACAAAATGATCCGGAGTGCTTCCCAGAGTTGAGCTGTTGTTCTTCTAAAATGGGACATGACTTTAATCAACCAGGGGTTGACATAGCCCATGCGTCTCTATGCAAAAATGCAATAGCCGAAAGTGAGGGCCATCCATGGTCGATCAACATCGAGCAAAACTGGCTGCACCTTTCTAGGCACTGCCATAAAACACGGGCATGATTTTCCCTTTGGAGAAGCACAACGCCCATCTTTACAGGCAGCTTTCAAGCGGAATGGCTTCCCTCAAAAACTGCTCTGCAGATTCACGGAACCCCAACTCCTTTTGGGAAGTGGACTCTCTTTTAGGTACCTTCCGTGAATTTGCAAGTTTCCCCCGCAATCATGGGACAATTAAGGCTCGCCCCCGTTGGTGAAATTCAAAAGTGCCCCCCATGTCCTTCCTCAATTGACTGACTACTGGACAATATATTTGACAAAAACACAATGTCTAATTCAAAGTCCAATCCCTGCCCCCCCCCCCCACCCCAACAAAATGGGTTCTCTTTAGTTTCCTTTTCACCTTTGAACGGCAACAGGAAACCCACCATGGGGAGTCCCCCCCCCTCACACATAATGATGACCCCAAATGAATCAACCTGTGGTAATTGCTATGCGGAGGTTCTCATCCAAAAGTGGTCGGAATCTCAACTAAACCTAACAAAAAACACCCCCACAAATTATCATAAACTAGGGTTTATTCATCCGGGGTCAACTAGGTCCTCCAGTAGAGAGGATAGAATAAGGGTACCGTCTTTTTTCGGGAGTCGATTCTAGTAGGGGAACCCTCCCCACCAAAAAAAGAAAGGGTGAGAAAATTGGCACCTAGCTGGGGGACTTATAGTCAAGGCGACCCATTTTGGTCAGCTCCGGATTTCTTAACTCGGTTACGAAATCTGCTCCCCTGCTAAAAGTGAATAACTTTTAGTGGCTTAATACGGAAAACCGTTTCATTCGCTGGCAACAAATCTCAAGTCCTAACATCCGTTGGCAAAGTGCACCGAAGTCTCTTTGGGGTAGGTTTGAAGGGAAATTGGCAACACTCAGATTTCCATGGTACAAAGAGGCCTCCTTTTTTGGTTGGTTCCGCCACATTGCTCAAGACCCCACCCCCCAATTGGAGTGAGTGGAGCCCTTTTTTGGTTGGTTGACTTTATGGGGGAAGGCAAAGTGCCCCGAAGGTCCGCTCAGAGTCCCCTTCTCGACTTTTGGGGCACGGGCTCTCCGAACGGAGCTCGGGGCAGAGCGGACGGAGACCTGGCGACTCGTTACGGGGGGACGGGACGGGGGGACACAGGAAGGGACGGGGCAGCGCAGGTTCTGGGCCGCCCGTTTTCAGGTTTTTTTTTCTTTTCGGAAAGTGAATCACTTTTCGTGGGTTAAATTCGGAAACTACCACTAAACACTAAAAGGCTAAGAAGCTAAGGGACCGGATGGCTGGGAACCACCGAGGTTTATGGGTTCGGACAACTGGTAAATCACCCCATCCCCTTTTGGTGTCCCTTAAAAGCAAAGCACAAAAAAACATATGTGGAGTGGCAATGAATCACTAGCATGGTCCCCCGATTTTTGGTACATGGTACTATCAATTTTCGGGGGCCCAGAGGTCCTACCATGTCCTTTCCCTAAACTCGAAAAGGGGAACTTCAGGTCCGGAACCATCTAGCGAGGCTCTCTTTATGTCCCATCATGCGGCTTAGGCTCCCAGCAAAACCGACGGATTTGGTTCAACTTGGGCGCTCCAACAACCCAGCGAAGTACAAAGACCCCTGGAGGACTACTGTCCAAAGGACCCCTCTGCACTTCCATTGGGAGGGTAGCTGGAAGGTCCGATACTTTGCTTTACCCCAAACTGATGGGGGACCTGATCGTTGGAACTGTCCGGTTTTAGACATGGAATGCGCGCGAGACTCATTCAAGCAAGAGGGCGCTCGCCGAAGCAATTTGTTGAGCAGGGGTGCCTGTCATCGCCTTTGGGCCAATTTTGAGAGCTTTCTTGTTTTGCTTGTGGGTCTTGTGTCAAAGGGAACGACTCTAAAAAATGATATCCGCTTGCATTGTTCTTTGGAATAAGTTGACAAAACCAGTCTGCGTTTTGGCCAACTTTGAAGCAACATGCATGGGAAGAATGGCAACCGTATGCCTAGAGGCGGCCAGAAAAGTATAATAGTCCACGAATGTTCATTGGTCACACAAACTTCTTCCATGGTGAGGGGACTGACCCCCAGTTGCGCCACTTGTAAGCATGATTGTCAACTATGAACTAAGCTGGTTGAACATCAAACAAAGGTATACGCATGGGGAAGCCTTCCTTCGGTAGTCGACTTGAGTAGGGGAACCCTCCCCCTCCAAAAAAAGGGGGAGAAAGTTGGCACCTAGCTGGGAGACTTATAGTCAAGGTGACCCATTTTGGTCAGCTCCGGATTTCTTAACTCGGTTGCGAAATCTGCTCCCCTGCTAACAGTGAAAATAACTTTTAGTGGCTTAATACTGAAAACCGTTTCATTCGCTGGCAAAAAATCTCAAGTCCTAACATCCGTTGGCAAAGCGCACCGAAGTCTCTTTGGGGTAGGTTTGAAGGGAAATTGGCAACACTCAGATTTCCATGGAACAAAGAGGCCTCCTTTTTTGGTTGGTTCCGCCACATTGCTCAAGACCCCACCCCCCCAATTGGAGTGAGTGGAGCCCTTTTTTGGTTGGTTGACTTTATGGGGGAAGGCAAAGTGCCCCGAAGGTCCGCTCAGAGTCCCCTTCTCGACTTTTGGGGCACGGGCTCTCCGAACGGAGCTCGGGGAAGAGCGGACGGAGACCTGGCGACTCGTTACGAGGGGACGGGACGGGGGGACACAGGAAGGGACGGGGCAGCGCAGGTTCTGGGCCAGATTTTCGCGAAAAGTGAATCACTTTTCGTGGGTTAAATTCGGAAACTACCACTGAGCACTAAAAGGCAGTTGAATGCACCAGAAACTGCACGTCCACCAAAACAAGAGTGCGTCGATCAAGTAGAGTGGATGTAGAATACAAGATGCAAGTAGGTTTCAACCAGTGCGATGGCGTGCAAACGAACCCGACCTATCCCAGATCACAAGAGTAACCAAGTTGTAAAGGCGAACAACACCCAGGGACCTTTTAAGGGATTCGACCCGACCCTGGGCAGCACGCTTTTTCTTGAGCCAAATATACAAGTCAAGCAGTGCTGGCGGGGACCTCACAAAGGGGCCCCGTGGCATGGCGATTCCCAAATTCGGTAGAGTCCACACTGTACATGAACACATACCCGCAAATCAGTGAAAGGCTCGGGGATTTTCTTCTAAGGCTAAAAAGCTAAGGGGATGGATGGCTGGGAAATACCAAGGTTTATGGGTTCGGACAACTGGTAAATCACCCCATCCCCTTTTGGTGTCCCTTAACAGCAAAGCAGAAAAAAACAATCTGTGGAGTGGCAATGAATTACTAACATGGTCCCGATTTTTGGTACATGGTACTATCAATTTTCGGGGGCCCAGAGGTCCTACCATGTCCTTTCCCCTAAACTCGAAACGGGGGACTTCAGGTCTGGAACCATCTAGCGAGGCTCTCTTTATGTGCCATCATGCGGCTTAGGCTCCCAGCAAAACCGACCGATTTGGTTCAACTTGGGCGCTCCAACAACCCAGCGAAGTACAAAGACCCTGGAGGACTACTGTCAAAAGGACCCCTCTGCACTTCCATTGGGAGGGTAGCTGGAAGGTCCGATACTTTGCTTTACCCCAAACTGATGGGGACCTGATAGTTGGAACTGTCCGGTTTTAGACATGGAATGCGCGCGAGACTCATTCAAGCAAGAGGGCGCTCGCCGAAGCAATTTGTTGAGCAGGGGTGCCTGTCATCGCCTTTGGGCCAATTTTGAGAGCTTTCTTGTTTTGCTTGTGGGTCTTGTGTCAAAGGGAACGACTCTAAAAAATGATATCCGCTTGCATTGTTCTTTGGAATAAGTTGACAAAACCAGTCTGCGTTTTGGCCAACTTTGAAGCAACATGCATGGGAAGAATGGCAACCGTATGCCTAGAGGCGGCCAGAAAAGTATAATAGTCCACGAATGTTCATTGGTCACACAAACTTCTTCCATGGTGAGGGGACTGACCCCCAGTTGCGCCACTTGTAAGCATGATTGTCAACTATGAACTAAGCTGGTTGAACATCAAACAAAGGTATACGCATGGGGAAGCCCTCCAATCGTTCGTGGGCATGCATCCTCATGCAAATGACATGAAATGAAGCTCGTGCCTAAATGGCAAAGGGCTCGGAATGGGTCGATGACGTGTTTTCCAATAAACAAGTGGAAGTGGATAAGGGCCCTAGTACTGTTGATCCCTGATCAATAAACTCGCCCCACCCCCGAAGTAATCAGGGGCTTTCCTGAAAGGAACGAATCCCCAATACAAGGAGACGCCTGATTAATCATTTGGGGATGGAGTATTATTAAGCAGGTATCAACATTTGGATGTGTAAGTCCAAGAACCCTGCCCCAAAAACAAAGAAAAAGAGAAGAAACATGAACCAATACTTCGCTTTCTGAGTGCATTGGCCAGAACAACTTGCTATTTACCACTAAACTGGTCCAAACCCAAAAAGTTTTTAAAGTCCGTGAACTCGGGAGCGAGGAATCGCTGAGCCGTTTTGTGTATGGCCTCTGGCTGACAAACACAAACCAACCAAACCTTGGTTGACGTTGGAAGGGGAGCAACAATCTAACATTTAGCAGATTCTAGCAGTTAAGTGGGGATTTCAACCACAAAACCACAAGAAGCAAAAATGCAAAATGTGTCCCAACAACAACCACGAAACAGATGGCCGCCAAGACAAAAGCAGCTTCTCTTTCAAAACCATCAAGTTCTCCAAGCCGCAGCACCAGGGCACCGCGCCCCAGGTGCAATGCCGACCGTGGGGTGAGGGAAGCCCTGAGCGTGCCGTTCGGTTTGCGGCATGGACTTGGGCACTCGGGGTCTGGTGGAAATGTTGCGAAGAGGAAACTCCCAAGGCCCTAAATAACGTGGCCCTTTAATGTGGCACTAAAGGGAAATGTTGCGAAGAGGCAGGCCACTTTAATGTTGCTAGATAAAGTGGCCCTTTAAAGACATATTTGGGGAACCCCTGCAAATCTTTAGCTCGTCCCAAAACGCCCCAAACGCAGCAAAGCGGTTTTGAACCGCACTTGAGGACAAGATGCGCTCATGGGCTGGGCACTTGGGATCTGACTTGATCAGAGCGAGGCCTGTTGGCAGATTGCTTTCCTAAAGTCATGGGGGCTGGGGGGAGGGAGGGGTGGGGGGGAGGGAGCCCCAATAAGCCCCAAATAACGGCCTTATTAGGGGCTTAATAAGGGCTTATTTGGGCTCCCCCCCCCCCCTCCCTCCCCTCCCTCCCCCCCAGCCCCCATAATAAAGGCGGGGGCGGGGGCGCAGGAGCTCAAGGGGCACCGCCGGTGAAGCAAGGAACTGGCTTCTCTTTGGGCCCCAGTGTCCAAAAGTTGACGTTGGCAGGGCCGAGCAAAAATTTGGAGAAATAGCAGGACAGTGGAGTTGGATTTCCCACTAAATCCCGCGTCATTATATCATGATCATTCGTCATTACATCATGATCATTTTAATTCTGTAAATATAAATATTCAAGTATACTAGAGTTCGCCTATTCTGGGATCTCAATTGGACATGAGCATGCGTGCCCAAGGAGGACGAGTGTACATTTCTAAAAGGGAACACTTGGGCGGGTCTGGCATGTGCCAGGCATGCGCGCACTGCTGAGAGCGGGCAATTGAGCGGGCAACAAGCACATGTGACATGTGTCCAACAACCACCACGATGAGACTCCTAAACTGCGAACCAAACTACCTCTAATGCACCTACCCAAGTCCAAGAGCTGCTTATGACAGAAATCTGAATCGATCAGGACGCGATGATACACTAGGGGGGTTGATACTAATTGGGGGGTATCACCCTCTGGAGGGTCATGTGAACACCCCTGTCAATCTGCCAACTTCCTTAATGCTGCTCACTTGTCCCATCATCGGTGGCTTTCGGTCCGACGTGTCTCAAGTTGATCCAACGTGGCCTCCTCAAATTGAAACGGTAGCGTCCCAAAGCAAACACAGCGCCGCATGCCATGCCCCCCCAGCATCTGCGAACCAGGAACGTCAAAACAGCTGTCTAAGCAGACGGAAAAGACATGAGCAAACTGAAACGGCAGTTGGGAAACCAGCCTAGACTAACCAGGAACGTTAAAGGCAAAATGCATCTGGGCAATGTGCGATGGCCCAAAACAATGTCTTCTCAAAACGGCCCCAGAACAATCGGAGGAATCCACTCCAACAAGGTGGAAACAGGGCATTGGGTCTGGAAACACATGGAAAAAAAAGCGCCCAGAAGAAAACTTGGATGTGTCGTTTTGTTGTTGTTTTTCTTCCCGGGGGGGCCCAAAGTGGCAGGTCGCTCCCGTGATTCAAAACCACAATCAAGGGCTAACCTGAAAAACAAAGGAAGAACAAAAAACAAGACAAGCCTTGGTTGACGTTGGAAGGGGAGCAAACATTTCATTTTTAGCAGCCAAGTGGGGATTTCCCACTAAAACACAATATGCAAAAATGTAAAATGTTCCCCAACAACCACCATGAAGCCACCCAGCTTGTCAATACCAAACCACGACAGCGGCAACAAGGGCTGGGCTGCGAGGGCGACCCCGAGAGCCTGTACCTGTGCAGGCTATGATCCCCGAGGTTCCTTAAACCTGAATCCCTAGGTTTCCCAAAGCCCGGCAGAGGATTTTTTAGGTTGCCAAACAAGGTTCTCTGAGCAAAGGTCGATCATATTCTGTATATAGCTTGATGGAGAAGCTACACATATGTCCAGAAAAAGTCCTCCAGTAGAGAGGTTGGAATAAGGGTACCTTAGTTTTTTTCTGTGGTCGATTTTAGGGGAAGCCTCCCCCAAAAAAGGGTAAACGGACACTATTGGGGGACCTAGCTAAGCTGCAACAAGGGCCCTCTGAGAAAAAGGTCGATCATATTGTCTAGCTTTGGAGAAGCCCCACATGTTTCCAGAAGGTCTCTGCGACCAAAAAATGCGAAGGCATTGAAACGTACCCTGTAAACGAGCCCACCCAAAAACCTGGCCCCTTGAGGAAGTGAAAAGGGTCTTCTGAAGGGAAAAATACATTCCTTCCCCCCCCCCCCCCGCTGCTATTTCAAGACACATCCTGGTTCCCAAAAAGAATAAAGTCCGGGAAACTCAGGAAGTGAGTGAATGGTTGGTTCACCATGGTTCACCTCAACTTCATTTGACCTCGCCTTCATAAAAATATTGGCATATCCATCTGAACATCGCCAAGCAGTGGTCCCATTTGGTCCGGAAAAAGCGATGTGTTCAATGGCCAAACCGCATCTGCTAAGAAATCCTCCATGGAACACCAAATTTCATATTATGATGTACCCAGGCGCCTGCAGTTGACTTGGGGCCTCTTTCCTTGCCTGGACTCCAGCATGTCTCTAGATGCCAAATAGAAACTGGACTGGGACTGGCTCCGTAATTCTACCAGCAAAGTCACCTTTCAAGCAGATGAAAGGCAAACCACCAACCAGTGATGCGTAAGTTCTGCTGCCTTCAAGGTGCTTTCTCTTCGACAAATCAAGGCGCCCTCCGCCTGAGCCTGACCCCTAATTCACAATCTGTGTGGTAGAAGGATTCTCCACTATGAAAAGGCACCCTTGACCCCCAGTGGCCACAGCAAAAAAAGGGGCACGCTCTTCTTGTCTAGGTTGCTTGCAAAGGGAACCCCCCTCCAAAACAAGGAAAACTGGGCACTCTCATCTTGATCCCAGATTCACCGGTTTTGTCGTGAAGTTTGAAGCGACACCCTCTCCAAATGAAGGACAACATGGCACAGGGTCTTGGTTGCTTTCTGCTCCCCTGCTAAGAGTTTAGCTTTTAGTGGTTTAATGAGGAAAACCCATCTGTTGGCAAAAAAAGAAAAGAAAAACAAAGGCCTAACATCCCTTGGCAAAATGATTAGGCCTAAGCTAAGAAACCATGGTTGAAGCCATTGCTTGTTGGCTTCAACCAGGGAAATCGAATCAATGCGCCAAACAGGGTGGTTTGGGCGAGTGGGTTTCATCTCAGGCATCTGAGGCTGGCGCCAGTCCCGCTCCGGAGAGCTGGACATCGGGGACCTCAGATCGTCCGGCGGGCAGTTGACATTCAGCCCATGCCCTGAGAAAGGGCTCCGGAGATTTCTTGGTTGACGTTGGAAGGGGAGCATGTTTTATTTCTATTTTTATAGTTCAGTGGATTTGGATTTCGACCACTAAATCCCACAATACGCAAACGTGTAAAGTGTTTTTTTTTTACAATAATGGATTTCCGTTTAGACATCATCATATTAAAAGGAAACTTGCTTTGAATTGGCCTGCTGTCAGGTCTGCATGAGGCACGCAACGAAAGAGTCCGGGCGGAGTCACGCCCAATGGCAATAACACTCTAAATTGGGCCCAACCGCTGATATTTACCACAGAACCTGAGTTGAATCTACTGACATAGTCGCCAGACTTACACCCCTTGCAACAAGTTATGCTTTAAAACGAGGATGCCACAAACGATTCTTTAAACTTGACACACGGGAACCCTCAAGTATTGCACCTTCAGTCCTCAAGCATGGAACCCTCAGGCATTGAGAATCAATGCTCTAGCAAGCCAACTGCAGGAAATTCAGCAGGAGATCCGTGTTTCGGTGGGTGTTGAGCTAGTTTCTGTGGTCTGCCCCCTTTTTTGTTGCTGGGCCCCCGCCCCCCGCCCAAATGGCTGTCTTCCTTTGTTTTCCCTTTAAAACCACCAAGACAGGCTAATCCCCCGCAAAAAAAAAAAAACGATTTATGGGTTTCCCCTACAACGCTAAAATGGGAAATCTTGGCTGCGTTGCTTTTGGCTTCCCTTGAAAAACCCACCAAGATCTGATCTGGGATTCTCGTTTCATCGGGGCTCCGAGCCGGGATGGCAGGCTGCCGAGCGACCTGACTCGAACTCGAAAACGATCAAGCCACTGAGGGAGGCTATGGCAAGTAGGGTCACTGGGCTTGGAATCGAAATCGAAAAGGATGTTGGAGCTATAACCATCCTTATGCTGGAACCAAGCCCAGTTACTAAGTAGGTTATATATATATAACCATGATGCAAGTAGGGAAAGTGGGCATGGCAAGCCCTTGCCATGGGTTTTCCCTTGGGCCTACCTCCTGTGGAAAAAAACAAACTCAGCTCAAGGGAAACCACCTGGAATTGGAATCAAGTCTTGAGAGGAAATCCAATGACCCCTGGGATCCGGATGCATATACCTGAACCTTGCAACTTGTAAATGGTGGTGTCCCATTTCTTTACTTTGGTGTTGAAAAAGCAACATGTTTCAAATGGAATGTCAAAATGGAGATCTTTTAAGGAGCCCTGCTGTAGAAAGCATGCTTTTCTACGGATTTCCCAGTGTGTAGTCATCATGATTTGCTCAGCAAGCAGGCTTTGCTTGGATGTTCAACCCACTCACAGTACGTATAGGTTGTAACCATGCTTGTAAGTAGGGCAACTGGGCTTGGTTCCCTACCATTCGACGCTAAAGCCAAATTTGGATACCAGCTCAGCGGCTCCCTTCCAAACTCCAAAAGTTGCCCGTCCTTCTGGCTCTTCAAATACCAAAAATATCTATGAAAAAGCTTCCGAACCTGCCTTGGCTTTGAAAACGGCAAGGCTTCCTTGAGCAATAGTTCCAATACTGTTTGTGGTGTCTTCAGGACTTCACCGCGCAAGACATGGGTTGATGGCTGTTTTCCCCTCAAACCAATCCCAACCAAATTGGCCTACTCCAAAAACGTTTGGAGGGGGATCCCATGGTTTCCCGCGCTCCAATGCATGGCGCAAGTGTTTTGTGGTCTCACGTCCTGAGGGATCCCCGGGCAAAGATTGCCGCAAAAAGCAGCCGGAAGAGATCTGGGGGATGCAACTCGGGAATTGGGGCCAACGAGTCGCCAGGCGACGTGTCTTTAACCTGCCCTGATGCAATGTCTGTACGAGTTCAAGCTGTATGTTCACCTGCAACAAATAGGTCATGTCATGAATCATCACTGAGCTCAAGGATTGTGTCCGCGCAGCTCGCCCTGTCAGCGTCAGTGAAAACATTTGCATCACACTCTCTTTGCCTTGAAACCTGGACCCCCCCTGGCCTGAAATCTTTAGCCGGAAACAGATTTCGAGGTCTGTCAAGGAACCCCAATCGAATCTGGATTTCCAAGAACATATTGGTGTGTATTTTGATAGACCCTTTGGTGGACATCATTCAGGTTTGGATTTGTGTCCAACCAGACTCACTTTGCAGGGTGGAATCCAATGGCTTTCCGGCAGCGATAGAACCTGTGATGCACAGGAACCCCTTAATTAATGCAGGTTGTCCTGCTGGTGCCTCGTGAAACCAACTCCAAAAAGGGTGCCCTCGAAAAAGGCTTCTCCTCCCTATCTCTGCACTTCCATGCATTCGTGGGAGGGGGGAGGGAGGCGAGGTTCAGTGACGGACGTAGATATACAGGGAACCTTGTGGGAAAATGGGCGTATATCGACACCAATGGAGGGACTGATAATTCTAACCCCCTCTGCAAACTACCATAGATTCTTCCCACAGAAAGATTCCTCCAAAAACCCTTGCTCTGATAGACAAGGATATTCTTAGTTTGCATGTAAAGGGAGCCAAAACATTGCCAGGCAGGTGCTTGGGGTGGGTTAACTGTCTCTTCATTCCCTTCCATCCTCATCAAAGCATTACTTTTTTAGGGCAGCCATGGATTCGGGTGTGGCTCAAAATTACACAGGGGGGCTTACGCAGGTTTTGGTCCAGGTTTCCACTTACCAGGGCAACCCATTTTGGGATTCCGGTTTTTTGAGCCACAGCCATTCCTTTAAAGGAAACGCCCAGAGGGTCAGAGGGATCTTCGTCTCCGCCTGGCGAAGGGGTACCCCACAGGACTCGCAGCCTCGGATGCGGCTGGCCCGAAATGGCATCCGAAATGGAAAGATTAAGTAGACCGCAGAAATTCAGAGCCCGCCGTGAGCTTTGTGAATTTGGCGCCACACCCCACTCAAGCCCCGGAAGAAATAAAAAGAGAAGACATAAAAAAAGAAACGCGCAGCTGGATTGATTGGCTTTGTGACATGCTTTCACACATCTGGCAAAACCAAATGCGGCGCATCAGAACAACAACCAAACAAGACGGGAGCGTTATTCCAGGAACGCGCTTACACGCTCGGCCATAGCCAAAACCTTGGAACGCTCCTCCGCGTTGCAGATGCCAACAGCCATCACTTCTTTAGCCAAAGGACAACCGTGACCTGGAAAGATGCAGGCACGATCGACTCCAAGGTCGCACCGCACAAGGAAGAAAAGCCGAGCGGAGAATCTACACAGGAGCCGAGGCAGCACGTGTGGCCGAGTTCAGCTGACACTCGGACGAGTAGAGAGCACACTCAGATATTTTGCAATAAACAAAGATGGTGTGCGAACCCGCGCAAAAAAAACAACACACACACACATAGCGTGCTAGATGGTGGGATGGTCACTGTCCAAAAGGCCTTAGACTAAGGACAAGAACATTCAAGTGAAAGACTCATGGAACTCCTCTAGGTTTTTCAGATTTGAGAGGTGAGAAGTAAGTTGGTACCCGACTCTTTTTTTTCTGTTTTTCTATTTTGGTAGGGGGTTTCCCTCCCAACCAAAAAAGCAGCGGTTAAAAAGGGCGTTGGCACCAATTGCTGGGGGGCCTGGGCAGGCAAGCTTGGCATGCGATCTGGAGACCCCTTCTCAGAGGCATGAGTGACCCTGCGATGCAAAACGGCCTCCAAACGCCCACGGAAGATACCCAAAAAGCGAGGAACCGGATTTGTAGGAATATTCCTCTTTTTGTTTTGCGTTTTCCTGGATGTTCTGTCTTGGAACTGGCGGTGGTTCTGCCTCTGGCTTTGACAATCAGTGGCAGCTTCGGGTTGGTTTAGCCTCGATGTAGGGCCCAAACAAGCTTTTGGGTGGGCTTTGGATGCATTGAAGCTCCTTCGAAGCTTCGGGTTTGCCTAAGGTCATCCCAAAGCCGAACAACGGCCCTATAAAAAAACGGGGGGGGGGCCTGCAGAAAACAACAATTCAGTGCGTGATTACAAGTAAGAAGGTGCTCTAAGCTTAGACTCCAATCAGCCAAGAAGCCAACACGCCTGGAACCTGAGAGCCAAGAAGCCACCAACCATCCTCAAACCTAAACGCCGGTGATGCTGGGGGCGCTACTGGGAAAAACACCACAAATCCCACGAAGCCAAGAAGGCCAAGAAGGCCAAAAGCCCAAAGCCAACAAAACCAAAAGCCAAGAAGCCTGGAAGCCAAGAAGCCCAGAAGCCAAGAAGCCAGAGAAGGCACGATCCAGGAAACAAACCTTGACCAAAAAGATAAATAATTTAAACAGGGGCCCCAAAAAGTCTGTATCTGCAGGGGAGGGGGGTCCAAAAAAGCTCTGGTATCTGCAGGGGGGGTCCAACAAAGCTCTGGTTGACTTAGTTACCCTCACAAACGCCAGATGGTTCGGAGCATGAGATGCTACAGGCACAGCTTTACCGCCTTTCCCAGGATTCTCCAAAACCATGAAGGAACGACTGTTTCACCTTCCCTCCAAATAGGTGGATTGAATTATTGGTGATTTGAAGTTAGGGGTGGTTTCGACATAGCTTGGAATCGGAATCAACGGCCTCGATCGCACCACTGTGAAGCCCCTACTAAACTGAACAACCCAAGACAAGCTCCGCACATTGAACAGATCCAGAACAAAAAAACACTGAGCCTCACACCGGCGGCGCTGACGCCGACCTTGCAGCGGGCTGGGTTGGAGTGAAGTGGATGGGTCATGTCTGTGACATGAATTCTTCCTGATCTCCAAGCTTGCAACGTCCTCCAAAGTCCCTGTTTTCTCCGCTCCATTCCCAAAATAAGGGTTCCCTTCTGAAAGGAAGATCCCATGAACGGGCAAGGCCGAACACCCTTTGCAAGCGAGGCTTGCATTATCCATCTGCGCCTTGTTCCACTTGGGGGAATAGAAAACCCGCACCTCACAAATTGAAACTGCCTGCCTTTTGCCCAAGGAGCACTTGGACTCGGAAGGTGCCACTTCTTTCTCCCCTTCCAATGAACCGTTCACTTGGCAAGGGCACGTGTTGACCAACTTTCAGTGACCCGGAAAGCTCTGAATCCAAGGTGGTTACCTTTTCAGAGCACTGTTGGAAAAGGCCGGAAAAGGAAAAGGCACCAAGAGTAGCCTCAAACAAGACACCCATGCTCCAGCTTTGGATCCATGGCGTTTCGGGATTGGCACCTCAATGTTTGCCCAGCATCACCAGCTGCGAAACATCTCTCCTGTGCTGACATACACCGTTTTCCTGAAAACATCTTCTTTGCCGTGATACCAAAGCACACGTCGGAAAACATATCGACATGGTTGTGACCCAACTACGCCCTTTTTCAGCCCTAAAGGCCATATTTACGGCTTGTTTGCCTCCCCCCCCGGCCCCCATGGAATATAAACCCTTCCAAGGTAGCTGTGCGCCGCCCCACACCATTTCCAGGCATTGTCTCAATGGCGATGTTCGTCATTGGATTTCGGCGACAACAATCCCATCGAATCCGCACTTCAGTGCCAGGCATTTTTGTTTACCACCAAAGCAGGGGTTCCTCAATGTTAACCCCGGATTAATAAACCCCTGGTTGATGAATAGGGGGGCGTCCCCTTTTAGTGGGTATTCAGAATTCATCAATTTTTGAGGGAACACCATCCAATAGTGGGACGGGCTTATTCATCCTGGGTCAACATTATAGGATACATCCAGCAACCACCTGCCTTACGTGGGATCCGCATTTGGGTGGGCCCGAGTCCTCCCGAGCAATTGACCATCTGTATTTGTCTTACAGTGATTGTTCGATTCTTCACGTTCTCCTCACTTGAGGATGTTGGCCAAACATCCAAACTCTTTATCTGCCACCAAATTTGCTCTGTAAGCTGTGACTGTCTCAAAATAGCACAAGAATTCTTGGCTTCCTTCTGGCTTCCGTTACAACCCACCAAGACAGGGTTCCCCAAACCACAAAAGCACGGGGACTCGCCCTTTCGCCCGGGAACTCTCGTGGCGAATTGAAATGTTCATCCGGCGAAAGCTGAGTCCTCCGGCAGGGGCCAGCCTGAGAGGACGAGTTCGCTTCGAGGCGAAGCTGGTGCGCTTTAGGTCGGGTGACAGGAAAGGTAGAGGAGTTTTTATTTTTTGTTTTTGTGTTTTGTTTGACTAGTAAAAACAAAAAACGCTACCTCCTGACGGGAAACCAACAACAAAAAGCACATTGGCCGGGGTAGTCCCGATGCAAAGTTGGCACCCTTGAGGTGGGGTGAACTTGGTTGACCTTGCAGGGGAGCAAAAATTGGGACAAATCCCAGTTCAGTGGATTTGGATTTCCCACCCACTCAATCCCACCATAAGCAAAAATGTAACATGTTTCCCAACAACAACCATGTGAAAGGGAAACCAAAAGGAAACCAGCCATTTTTGTGGGGTAATCCCGATGACGCAACCTGGGGGTCGGAACTTTGCCGTCCCGGTAAATGGGACCATGGTCTTTTTGGCTCCGACATTGCCAGGGAAAAGCTTGAATTGCTTGCTAGGTAGGGAAATCGAATTCCGAAAAGTATGGTCAGAGGTCACACTAACGAGCAAAGTTGTGGATGGCTTGGGTTATCGCCACGGGAAGCGGAAACTGGGCGTTCCAACCAGGATGCTCCGTATCAGCTTCCTCGAGGTGTGGAACCCAAACTTCCGCCCTTTGCGGTTTTTGTTTTGGGTTGTGGGCTTACGGTTTGGGATTTTGGGGTTTAGTTAGCACTCCCGTGGGTGTATATATATATACATATACATACATATATGGGTACATATATATATATATATGTGTATGTATGTATACAATATATGTATACATGTGTATATAAATATATGTATTCCAAATCACCTCCATTGATATAGTCCAACTTTCAGCTGATTGCATCTACAGTATTCAGTCGAGCCACAATTCTTGGTTGGCCTCAACTCCTAAGCCAAACGTGTGGGTGCCCAAAGTCTGCTGACTGGGGCATGTTGATACCAACGACTGAAAATGTGAACGCCGTGTTGCAGAGTTTGGAGTTTCAAGCCCCTTTCAACAATGCACCAGCCCCTATTGTCCCAGCCCTAGCAGATTTCCATGGCAAGAGTCGGCACTCTTGTTGGTTGATTTTGAAGGGAACCCCCCTCCAAAGAACAAACAAAAGGGAAGCAACCCACTGGGCGTCTGGGTTGAAGCCCTCTCATTTTTGGTTTCCCTTAGGGACTCAACCTAAACCCCGGAAAATAATAGAAATAACGAACATCCGCAAGAGCTGGCAGTACTTCAACCCCCCTAAATAAACCGAACTCAAAAAGCAAACTGCTTCTTGGACAGAACTTTGAATTCTGGACATGGGAGAAAAGCAAGGGGTGGGGGGAGGTGCTGGCATGGTTTTAAAACCAAGAAGGACCCAACTTGAAAGGTCACAGCGCACACCAAAGTTCGGGGAAAAAACAACAACCAAGTCATTGGCAATTTGTTTATGATTGCGCGGTCGATCAATCAATCCGCGCCTGTTGTCGCATCCAGGAAGACCTGTCTCTGCACCTGCGCGAGAAAAGGGAACTCGCGAACCATCGACCAGAAAGCATCTCCCCACATTTCGCAGGCCTTTGAAGCACAAGACCGGGTGTTCTCAGGGCTGAAAAAAGCTTAGACATGACAAGGTGATCGCCTTTGATTTCCAGGTTGCCAGTGAAAACAAGACGAGGAATAGCGCGAAAGGGCCACTGCATACATCACGGCACCTTTGGCCAAGTGGGACTTGTTCTTAGAATCTCCCCTGCTTTCCTCAAAATGGGTGTGTTACAGAATCGAGGTGATCGAAAATGGTTGGTTTCCTTGTCGTTTTCCTTTCAACAACTAGCCAACAGGGGGTTCACCATTTTGTTTGCTTTTTGGGGGGTAGGGGATGAGGGGGGTAGGGAAGCAAAGGGGGTGGAATTCAAATGTATGCTTCGATTAAGCTTCTGAACAAAGAAAATCAAGCGTGGTGTTACATGGAGGGTCTAGAAACAATCATGAAACATGTATCCCGTGGTGGCACTCTTCTGGCTTGATGCTTCACAAACAACAAAATACGGCACACCCAGTTGAGAAAGGCTCAGCATGGGCAAGCTCGCGCTAGCCAAACTGAGCCACGATCGAAACCCGGTATCAAAATGGTGATCCCAGAACCATGTAAAGAATTAAGAAGGCGGCCGCAGCGATTTATGGCTGGGATTGTCCCTTACAAACCTTCATCTACCCGGGTTTTGAGCCAGTGGCTCAACTGAGCTCGGCTGAGTTTGCCCAGTCTGAATGGACAGAAGGACCCTTAAACCAGCACGGTGGCGTCCCGTACCCCCAACCTGAAAAGTGCCCCCCCTCCCCTTCCATGCGGTTGAACACCACCGAAACTGTGTTGGATGTTTCCATTTGCTTCTTCGCTTCTTCGCCTGGAAAAATAATCAGATTTCCACTTGGCTGGAATTAGGACCCCAGCGAAACATATATTTTTCGCCTGGTTAGTGGAAAACAAAGGGAACCCCAAAACAGGAAAAAACACAAAGGTGAGCTAATTCTGTGGAAGTCCAGTAGAGATAGATTATCATAGATTCCCTTGAACACCAACGAGGGAAAATCAACCAGATTCTTAGGCAAATACAAGCAGTGGCACCCGAGAACAACCCCCCATCTCTCTGTCAAGCGGGCCGCGCCTTTGGCGGTGACGAGGCATACCTGAGGTCAGAACCCAAAACGACTTTGGGTGTTTCATGTTGAGAAAACAACCCCAGTTCATTAAATGGGGGTGCGATTCCCTCCAAAAGTGAAAAAACAAAAAACACTAAAACCGGGGACACCCCCATATGACTAAACAGGGGTTCATTCATAGGGGGTGTTCATTGCCCGAAAGACTCAGCCAGAACTAATGCTCAAACAAGGTCCTCGGCAATTCACAAACAACAAAGCTAACTTGAGTCACAATCAAAACCTGGTACACAAATGGTGAACCCAGAACCATGTAAAGAACTAGAAAGGCGGCCGCAACTATTTCCGGCTGGGACTGCCCCTTTCTAACCTTCATCTTCCCAGGTTTTGAGCAAGTGGCTCACTTGTAGATGCTCCCACCACAGGGTGGTTGGCATTGCTTCTTTTCTGGACCAGTTTGGTGGATTTCGAGGACCCTGAGATAAACTACCCACAAACAAACAAAAAAGGAGCTGGAAAGTACAAGTAAGGAGTCCCAAGTGCCAAGTTCATTTGAATCATCTGAGTCGTTCCGACAATCAGAAAGCAGACAAGATGTTGGAAGACACTATCCTCCCAAAAGTTGCCTGATTCTTGAAAAGGGAGAATCAAACAGTCTGGAATCCGAGTTTAGCCTTGTGCCAACGCCCCCCTTAACAACAAAGCAAATATCCGCAGCTATGGTTGGATTGTCCCCGACCTTCATCCCAGGTTGGCTGATGTGGCTCATCTGAAATCATGTTGCTGCTCTGGTGGAATAGGACTGAGAGGAGAACATGGCTTTTCGGTTCTGCTTGTGCCACAGTCCGTTTGCCTGTGCATCAGGACAAGGGATGACAGGAAGAACTTGGATTCGATGTGCGTCTCCCGTCGCAGCAGAGTTCTCATGCGCCGTTGCCACAATTTAGCTCGAATTCACAAGAACACATCTGGGCCCGAATGTTAATTGGGGACCCTGTGGTGGACATCATTTAGGTGGGGATTCATATCCACCAACCAGCATTGAGGTGATTCCCTATTAACAATCATAGCCATTTGGGAAATGAGGTCGGACAAATGGCTGGGATGCTGCTTGCATAGTGTTGACCCCCCCAAAAAAAATGCTTATTAACATGGGGGTGTCCCTGGTTTTAGTGGGGATTTGTCACTTTTGGAGGGAACACCCATATGAATAAACAGGGGTTTTTATTAATCCGGGGTCAACATGGCATGCAAGCTGGAACTCAATCTCTTTCTTGGAGTCCTTCGGGAGAAGCCCTGGGGGCATGTCGTCACCAGAGAAACCGGATCCCAGTGAAGCCCGATCCCTATCCCATATCCCAATCGCAGTCAAACACAACTGGCGGCAGTTCGAGAAAATCGCTGAGAAAATCCATGATTTGTTGGGATCCCAAGTCAAACACTTGAAATTTTGCACCCGCACAACTCACGTCTGAGAAATTGCCATTTCTAAAAAGGGTGCGACTGGTAGCAACATGAAGCAGTGTGACAAAGAAGGCTCCCTTCACCGGCGGCCGGAAACCAAATCCCTTTGAGTGACGCACACTTTGCTTGGCCCAGATCTGAACTCTAAATGACGATGAAACGAGGAGCCAGCCCAAGAGTATGTTCAAATGTTCAGCTTAAGGGACCCAGCATTCCGCACCAGGGTGTGAAGTCGCAACCCGGCTGTCGGGCGCGTTTTGTCGGCCTTCGCTTTGCCTGTTGGTTTATGGGGGAGAAACAAAAACTAGTTGAGGGTCGAACAACCGTCAAGTTGTCCAAAGAATCCAAACCTAAAAGATTAACCTTTTGGGGCCACCAACAATAGCTGCCAAAAAAGGAAACTCAAACTAAAAGGTCTTCCCTGTTTGATAGTTTGACTAAATTGTCCCATATATAGGCACGTGAGGATAACGGCAAGGGTCAGCCGGGCCGAAACAAAAACGGTTGAGGCTCCCCCTTCATCCCAGCTCCCGTTTGAGTCACGCGCCTGGGAGAGCACGAGCTCGGCGTATGGCACGCCTAGGCGCTGCGCCGGCTCAGACAAAGGCGGGGGGTCGTGGCCCAAAATGGCCATGGGTCAAAATCCCGGTTTCCCCCCAGTGAACATCCCGAGCCCCACTAAATAGGTTCTAAAATGGGTTGTGCACCTACCCCAAAATGGTAATCTAGGGGTACCTTCCATTTCCATTCTTTCCAGGGATCCGAATCTTTTCAGGAAATCAAAAGCCCTGAAAAAACAGATCCGGTTTTGAAAAGACCGATGGTTGAAAAGAATGGAAAAGGAATCAACCCCTAGAAAAATGAGGTTTGAAGAATCCACCACTTTCCAGATGGGGGGGGGGGGGGGGAATTTCATTACGGGCCTTTGGGTGGACATCAGTTGGGTGCAGATTCACCTGCCAACCACTTGTGAGGTGCTTCCCTACTAGATCCTACTAGCATCCATAGCCAGGGATCGGTGAGAAACAAGTTTGGATTAATTGCTTAATGGGAACTCCGGACTAATACAGCCTTGCTTGAGTTTGATCGGGGGTCCCCATTTAGTAGGGGCTCAGACCATTTTTGAGAGGAACACCGGAACGCCCCCCAATTGTTTGGGACGGGTTCTACTAGGATCCGCCAACATTATCACCAAAATGGATCTGTGGCTCAAAAAAGCGGAATTCCAAAATGGCTTGCCCGATCGGTAAGTGGAAACCTGGGTACCAAAACCTGCGGACCCCAAGCCCAGAAACTGGGAAAAAGTGAGAACAATCGGCTCCGTCCAAACAAGCTCCATCTCTTTGACGCAAGGAAGAAAAACCGTCAGGGAGGAAAAAACTGAATCCAGAATCACAGGAAAACTGCGCACCTAGCATCGGTCTTTATCCAGTAAGATTGTGATGTATTTTTGATTCCGGAGTTCAAGTGGGTGCTTAGAATACACTGCGAGCCAGCGCTTGTTTGCACGATAGTCACCACTCATTATCAATCTGCCATTTTCTGTCGGATTGTTGCAGAATATTCGCTTGATTTGACAAGCTCTAAGACAATGCTCGGTTGCTTTCTGCTCCCCTGCTAAAAGAATAACTTTCTGTGGTTTAATGGAAAACCCATTAGTTGGCAAAAAGTTAAAATCCTAACATCCAAGCAAAATGAAATGCACCTCATAATGATTAATTATCCTATAAGCCTCCAGATGCTAACGGGGTTTGGCAGCGTTTCAGAGCACATAACATTCTATGTGGCCCACTTCTCCCTTAGGCTCGAACAAAAATAGCTTCCTGATTGAAGCTGTGCACGTACAGTAGTATCTAGGTCCTCCAGTAGAGAGGTTAGAATAAGGGTACGTAGGGTACCAACTCTTTTCTGTATAGTCTATTTTAGTAGGGGAACCCTCACCCAAAAAAGGGTAAACGGGCACTACTTGGGGGACCTAGGTATGCAACACAAAGCCCCACAACACTTGCGGTCCAGTCCCTGTGGTTCTACACGCGTCCCGCGTGTGGGGTCAAACCTATGGACAAGCCTCCTGCGGGTCAGGGTTCTTTTAGGAACCCCTGCCACAATCCTACAAGGTGGATGATGGCCCTTACGCAACCACTGGCTTAATTGGGTGGGTTGACCAAGACAATAATACGACTCTCCACATGCGCTGTGCATAGTCTTTGGGCCCTTGAATGTGTTGAAGAAACCTATGGCTAATATGTCAATATCGTTTGACAAAAAACACCTCAGAAGTGAGTCCTTCACACCCCAAATAGGAGCGTTCCAAAAGCGTCCCGCCTTATCAAGGTTCATACCCATATGGCCATGGGTCAAAAGCCCGTACCCCCAGTGAACATCCCATTCCCCACAAAAAAAAAAAAAAAGGTGGTGAATGCCTAATTACCCCAAAATGGTCCCATTGGTTTTGACCCACAACCATATTGTTTCACCCTCTGATCGGGTTTGGAGCTTGAAACAACTCTCCAAGGCCAAGGCTGAGTCCCTGGCTGAGGCCGAGGCCGACGCAACGAGCACGGGCCTCGGGTGTGGCGCGAAAGCATTTGAGGAGCACCCCGTAGACTGTTGGCTCCCAGATCGTTACTAGGGCCTCCAGTAAAGAGGTTAGAATAAGGGTACCAGTACGATATTTGTTTTGCTGCATGTAGTCTAGAAAAGTTCTGACTTTGAGCGTTGGTCACTTGAACCCCCTTTGCGGGACCACGAACACTCCACTAATACCAACACAACCCCCTACGACTCGCACAGACCGGTGCAGGAGCTGTGTTACGCCTGCTTATCTTCAATGCCCCCCCGCAGTGGCATCATTGAACCCTCCATGGGGGTCAGCAGTCAGGATCTCCATCTCAGTTGCCTAGGAGCCACCGAGTTGAGATACTTGAATCAGCTCGAAGCCTGCGTGCGGCAGAAAATGGGTTTCAGAGAGAAAGTCGGAGATCTCTTCAAGGCTCCAGAAACAAAAACCAAAGGACACCAAGGTCGAGAAACCCTTGCACATGGCACCTCAGCCAATGTGCAGCTTCTTCCGCTGTCCAAATGCGGAAGGACATTAGTGCTGATTATGCTGCATGGCAGAGTTTTTGTAGCCATTAACACACTCCTGCTCGTGGTTTCATTCACTTAACATGCCCATGCCGCATGTCAAACGTTGTTCCATTCAAGACCAGCCATGCACCGAGCCATTGTCCCCCACCCGGGCAAAGTTATCCTGGCTTCTTTTCGGGATTATCGACTAATTCATGTTTATTCATGTCCACCGACTCAACTAAAGAGCTTAACTAATTCATGTCCACCGCCTACTAGTAGAGAGTTTAGAATAAGGGTACCCTTTTTTTCTGTATAGTCTATTTTAGTAGGGGAACCCAAAAAAAAGGCAACAGGGACTACTGGGGGACCTTGTCTACCAAAAAGGGAAAACATCACAAGATCCAAAGGTCGATTCGCTTTGACAACTCTTGGTTGACGTTGGAAGGGGAGCAGCAATTTCAATCTTAATTAGCAGTTATTTCAACCACTGCACCACCATAAGCGAAACAAATTCTTCCCGGCAACAACCGTGAACTGAGCCACTTTGGAGGTGGCTCCCAGGAACCTCCGAGAACCCCTGCGCTGGCCACGTTCCAAGGCCTGGGGCGGCGAATGGGCGATTGGCCGAGCGGCACCGCACTCACTGCCCCCAAGCGGAAAGGCAGACAAGAACGGGGCCCGGTGTTTCGGGGTTGATCATTTTTGGGAAGGAACCCAGTCAGAAAAAAATGGGGCCCGTTTTTGGGGTTGATTAATTTTGGTAAACCCAGCAGTCAGAAAGGGAAGGAGGTGCCACCGAAGAAATGGGAGAATTGTCAACCCCAGATTTTTCAACCTGGCGGATTTTCATGGGGGTGGTTCCCAACTGTAAAGGAGTCCTTCGGAAATAGGACGTCCCAATCAAGATCCAGGGCTTCTCATTTTTGGGTTCCCATTGGAGCATTTGTTGCTTCCAGGTTGCCCATCAGCAAGCCAAGGGAGTCCCAGGGAAGTGGATGTGGGCCTCGAAAGTGACGAATCCGGCACTCAAAAGCTGCAATGCCAAGTCAGGGGCTCCCCTCCAAACCTCCATGGAGGAACCTCCATTTTCGGTGAGACCCTGTTCCTTTTGTCTTGGTTGACGTTGGAAGGGGAGCAAACATTGAAAACACTAGGAGTTAAGTGGATTTGGATTTCAACCACTAAACCACAATAAGCAAAAATGTATTTAAACAAACTGTTTCCCAACAACAACCATGATAATACGACTCTCCACATGCGCTGATGTGCATAGTCTTGGGCCCTTGATTGTATTGAAGAAACACATTTCTAATAGTTTTGGGTGGACCCTTTTGTGGGGCTAAGATCTTCGTTTGCAGACATGGCGCTATGAAATGTTTCACCTGACTGAGACCCCTGCAACAGCGTTGACTTGTTGCTAGTTGAAAGCAAAATGGATTGAATACCAACAAGTTGGCCAAAGGTTGAAAGGCTAAATACTAAGCTAAGTCTGGCCATATAACACTGATCTTGGTCCAAAGCCATTGGGTGACCTCCTTTGTACCCCGAGTGTCGTTTTGCGCCCGAAACGTGTCTTTCTCGGGATGCCGGCGGCTGGGGCTCTCCTTCTCACCGAGTCCCTGCGGATCCGCGGTTCACGTTGCGCCATTTAGCCAGCCGGGGAACATCCATGTGCTTCCTCGCCCCCCGGAGATTTTGTTTTAGACAAATCCAGCAGTGATAGATTCCCCGTTAAACCCAAGAGGAAGATACAAGATGTAGTCTTAAGCAAATGGAAAGTAAGGTACCCAGACCACTATCGAACACCTGCGCTTTCCGCCTAGCCTTGGCATCAAGCACCCCGTTGCCCCGAACTTCCGACCCAGTGCCGGCCCTTCCAACCGCCAACCGGCCCTGTGGTCTTTTGGCGGAACATCCCCTAGGTCCTCCAGTAGAGAGGATAGAAAAAGGATGCCCTTTTTTTCTGTAGTCTATTTTAGCAGGGGAACCCTCCCAAAACAAATGTAAAAGGGCACTACTGGGGGACCTAGTCGTGGTGAGAGTGCCCCGTCATTCCCTCCGGTTGAAAAGAAAAGTGACCCGTGACCAAGATCTCGGGCAGCCCTAGTCGTCTGAGCGATCGGCGACACGGGACGCTTGGAACGGGCTGTTCCTTTCCTTTGGAACATCCTGCTGGAAACCGACTCGAGCGGTTCAGCCGGGGGAGGTAATGGCAAGCCTTGCACATAGCACGCCATCAAGACCAATCCCGGATGTTTGGTTGATTGTAAGTTGGACATTAATGAAAAACCCGGCGGGAGGGTCATCAACACATATCCCAGATGCTTTGTTGTCTTAAAGGACATCAATGGACAGACACACGGGGGGCGGGGGGTTCAGCTAAGAACGACTACAAATATGGGGTTTCAAGCCTGGGGGTTCACCTTGCAGTTTGGCTTTCCAAGACTCCCCCCAAAGGGGCCTGCAAACACCTGGGGGGGGGGGGTTCAGCTAAGCTTGCTTGACGTTGAAAGGGGAGCAAACTCTAAATTTTAGCAGCCAAGTGGATTCGGATTTCCCACTAAACTACAAGCAAAAATGCAAAATGTGTCCCAGCAACAATTATGACTCACTTCAACTCGTCTGCGAAACCAAACCAACTGGGCCTGCAAAAACTAGGGGGGGGGGGGCGGGGAGTTCAGCTAAGGGTTCTTCGGATTTCCACAGACCCACCTCCCCCCACTTCGCTCCTGGGAGCTTCCCCACTTCGCATCCGGAGATTGGAAACTCCGGGTCTCCGGGATCGGGAGGCTCAGCTTTGGCACCTCCTGACATCCCAAGTTCCAGAGACCTTATTCCCTTTGGCTTCCTGAGGTCCTCCAGATTTGAGAGCTTAGAAGAAGTTGGCACCAACCTTTTTCGGTCTATTTTGGCAAGGGAAGCCTCCCCCCCAAAAAAGAGCAAAAGGGCACTACTGGGGGACCTAGCTGTGACTTCACCAGGCTTTCAGTTCAAAGGTCCGGTTCTCTTTTGCGGTGCCTGACGAATGAAGTGCCAGACGTCCAAGACATTGGCTTTCTCACAGAAGGAGGAAGGCAAAGCCTGTCGGCTTTGCTAGCTAGTTGGCTGAATGTTTAAGATTGAATACTTCGGGGATATGTGTGTCCACCCACAGCACAAGGTTGAAATTTTGCGCAGGCAGAAAGTGAATATGTCAGCTGAAGGATGGAAGCCGGGAATGGTGAAAATTGACTTTGGGCCTCAGTTTTGTTCCGAACCTTGTCTGAGTGGCTTTGGGGGGGGTAGTTTTCCTCACGCGACACCCAAGTGGTTCGAGTTTTGCTTTCTCCTCAGCAAACCATGGATGAGGACCTGTTTCGCAAGCAATTCCCTACCCCAGAAAGAGGTCCCTACCTAAAAAAGCTCCTAAAAGCAGGGGTTCGCAACCTGTTGCGATTTACTGAACACCACTTCCCTACCCCAAAATCAGGTTGCAAATCGAGGCGTGAACCACCCCAGACCCCCCAGATGCCCCTAGACCCTGGCATTCTGGCGATTTGGTGACGGATCTTTGGACTTTAACTCTTTGGTTGAACTGAGGAGTCTTCCGAACTGGACCCACAAAAAGTGAAGATTTCAGCCAAGACAAAGGAATTGACTAGACACACGGGCGGATGTCATGTGCGGTCAAAGCAACGCGCAGCTTTCCCAGCCTCTGAGAAACTCTCCCCACCACATACATCACTCTGGCCATGGATATTCTATGTTGAGTACGCCGAGTGTGATTTACGTGGCTTTACATGCGTGGCCAAGTTCTGAATGGAGAGTTGGAACGAACAAATGGAGACCCACTTCAGCTTTTCAGCGGGAAAGCGCAATGAACAGCTCGCAAAAAGAAGCCTTCGCCTTCCACACGCTCAAGGAATTCATTCGTTTCTATCATCATTGTCTTCAACGTTCACAGCCAAACCTAGGACGTAATCATTCTATGTTGTCATCATTGTAATCAGGGGCAAAGATGGAAGATACCAAAAAACGCTGACCAGGTTCAGTTCAGAAAAGGGCGATCATGCTGAATGGGTGTGCGATTGGGGTGCTCATTTCTAGCCTAGGCCTGAGACAGGCCCAGTACCTTCCCGTGATAGCATTTCCCATCAATGTGTCAACATGTTCCTTACAACATGTCACGACAGCCCGCCAAAAACGGAAAGAAGAAACCACACAAGCCATCAACTCAAGGACATATCCAGAGCCTCCATTTGCTTAAGTCCCCTGGAACAAGTAACAATATTTCCAGTAGTGATAGATTCCCTTTAAAAGCAACAGGGGAAAAAAACACTTAACCAAATGGAAAAGAGGTGATTTCTTCTAGCTGACCTTTGGTGGGCAGCACTTGGCATATGGCCATGGGTCAAACAACCGGTTACCCCCCAGTGAACCTCCCAACTCTCCACTAAAACAAAAAGAAAGTGGTGAATTCACCCACCCCAAAATGGGATCCCAAAACGGTTTCGAACCATGGCCATACGTCGCGTCCACGTGAAAACGGCCTTCCACGCCAGCTTCAATTTGGTACAGCCGCTCGCGCGGCTTCGCTAAACCGATGGAAGCCTCGCCTTCACAGAACTCGAAGACTGCCTGGCGCTTCGCTCAGAACCCACGTGGGTCACCCGAGTTGAAGAAATTCAAGTGGCTGAACCACTCCCCCAAAAAAGAAACGGTAACAGTTGGCACCTAGCTGGGGGACCTAGACACCCTCTAGTGACTCTGCGGCTCATGTGGCCATGGGTCAAAATCCAAAATGTCGTAGCCCCAGTGTTCACATCCCAATCCAACCACAAAAGTAGGTGCTAAAATGGGTGGTGAATTCACCTACCCAAAAATGGGATCCCATGGGTTTTGACCCATAGCCACTTGGAACACCCAAGTATAGGCGGGGGAGCTGTGCCCGGAGCCAAGTCAGGGGCAACTCCCAGTAGGTGATGGACCGCCCCTCATCCTTTAGAGTCACATGGGGGTGTACGTCTTGTGGCGGATGGTTTCCCGGTTGCGCGTGAAGTTGCGAGGGATGGGATGCCAGGAGTGCAGCAACTTGTGCGGAAGCTTTGGATCACAGGAACCGCTTGTGCAAGTCGACTATGAGAACCCCACCAAATGATTTGGCGGTTCCTGCTGGTTTCTTCTGACACCACAAAACCGGCTACTCCAGGAGCCACACAAGAGTTGCTGCCTGCAACTGCTTGCTTTCGGGTTCTTCTATGCTGCTGATTTGCACAAAGACAATCCCAGGGTAAGCGGGTGATGTTGCCCTCAAACCGGTAGCCAAATGATTGTAGCGTTTAGACGCGCGACATGGTTTGCCAAATGGCCCCTCAAACCCGTGCGGATTTCCAGAAACAAGTAACATCCGCTCTCTTTTTTTGTACTCTCCCAGAGCCTCCCACCAACTAACATGGGGTTTCCAAGAGGAAAGTAGTCTTCCCACAGGGGTCTTTCCATGACTTTGAAAGTGACGCCCCCTCCCCCAACAAAAGGAACCGAAACGCCCCACAGGTCTGGGGATCTCTCTTTGAGCCGATCGAACAAACTCCCCGCCTGAAGGGCTCGGCGTGAGGCCGGTCGTAGACTGGGGCCTGAAGCAGGATACCCTCCCACCGACTAACATGGAAGTGCAAAACTGCCCTTTCCAAGACTCAGTTGTTCGGTGACCCTGGAAAAAAAAGGGAACCCTTTTTTGGGAAGACAATTCTAGTGGGGCAGCCACTAAAAAAAAAGGGAAAAAGGGAGCCACTCAACAACTGACAAGAGGAAAGTAGTCTTTCTACAGGTGTCTGTGCACTTCCATGTTAGCTGGTGGTAGGGTAGGCGCGTTGCAATGGGGCGGCTAAGGCGTTGGCTCACTGGCGATGGGTCGTGTCAGCTTCTCAACGCGGGCGGTTGGTTCCTCCCTTCTGATGGGTCATGGTGGCTCACAAATGGCCAGGCTGCCCCCTTTGGCTCAAAATTGGATGTGTTTATCCTTCTGCTAGGTGGTAGGTCTTTGCGTTTCAAAATGGGCTGGCTGTGGGTCGAAGCGTGTCCCTAGACTTACTTTCTTCATGAGCACGAACTTTATTCTGTACCGAAAAATGGTACTTGCCGGCAAGGTGCCTGATGCGTCCCGATCCTCTTCGGCCTTGAATTCCACGCTCCGCAGCGCTATCACTAATCAGCAAAAGCTCCATATCTGTGGGAAATCAATCCTTCTGTGACAGCCAAGAGGTTGAATGTTGTGACTACTGCATAAGTTCTACTAAAGCAAATGTCCCAGAACCTTGAGCCCTTGGCATTTGGTGTGTGTGTGTGTGACGCGTGTGCGTGTGTGGGAGTGTGTCAAACTTGGACCCCTCCCAATCCGTGAATTCCCCATGGTCTCCTTTTGACACCCCTTACGTTGCTCTTTGATACCAATCTGTGTGAATAACACGTGTTGTCCTGAATGTTCCACCATGCAGAAGTAGCATGATCTAGGTTTAGACATTGTCTATTGACTTGTTAGGTACTCCGGTGTTAAATGGAGGATCTGGGAAGATTTAAAAAAAGAGAAAAAAAACACTTGTCCCCTGCTGCCTCCCCTTCTTGGAAAAGTCAATGGGCTATTTCGCAGCCTGCAACTTTGGGCGCATCCGCCCATCCGCCCCGAACCGCCTCCCAAAATTTGGCCAACGAAAGAAAGGTCCAAATTTTGTGTATCCGCGGAAACAGAAAAACCCGAGAGGGGCAAACAACGATAAAAAGCCGCCACGTCTGAAATGAGCTGCCAACAAGATGTTCACCGGTGGAAACCAAGTCTCAGGGGTTGGTTTGGCCCAGACCTTGTTACCATTTTTTGACACCACGTAAAGCAACTCCTTTTCTTGGTTAACGTTGGAAGGGGGGAACAATTTAACTTTTAACAGTTCCTACTAAGCCACAATAAGCAAAAATGCAAAATGTGTCCCAACAACAACCATGTGTTGGTCTTCTTACTTCCTACGGGCAAACACTTTCTGGTAACGGAATGACCCAGATTGTTGTGCCTTAACGGAAACCACAAGGAATTGTTCATGCCTATTGCAGCAGCAGGAAAATCGTCCAGACTTTCGGTCACAGTTGTTGGTCCTTCCAAAAGTTATGTTGCTTTCTGTGGAAGTCTTTGTTAACTGGGCTGTCCTCAGATCCCCTAAAATGTTCAACTTTCTCTCAAGCCTAAACACCCAAAAAGCTAAAAAACCGGACGGCTGGGACCCCCCAAGTTTGCATATGTCTTTTATCTGCTTTTCGCAAGTCCAACTGGCTGTGGGTCAACAAAAATGGTGCCCAAAATGGAAACGCCCTGGCACATGGAAACATGGACTAACACCCGTCTGGTGGTTGAATTTTGACCCATACCCAACTGGCCATGGGTCAAAAGCCCGTATGCACAGTGAACATCCCAATCCCCACTAAAATAGGAAGCCTTAAATGGGTGGTGAATTCACCCAATCCAACCAAAATGGGATCCCAAAACGGCTTTGACAACCACAGCCAACTCAGCCAACAAGTCCCCCTGACAGGCCGAACCCTGCCTCCACCGCCGTCTCTGCCTTCACCTCACTGGGCGCCTCTTCGGTCGTAAACGCTCCCGCGCCTACATGGAGCGACGGCCGGGCGCGGGTTTCTGCGGACTTTGGGTTGGCACCTCCTGCAGAGGTTGGCTGGGTGTGTGTTTTACCCAAGATTTGGGCTGGTCTAGAAGGAAACCACCTGGCCTCCCGGGTTGGTCCTGCATAGGTAGGTTCTTTATAGAGCCTTCCACTGGTCCTCTTTGTGCTGCTCCTTCCCTGGAAGTGCCCATAGCCATGGTAATGCATAGGTTGGCTGGGTGTGTTTTTCTGGAGTTACCCAAGAGTTGGGCTGGTGTAGAAGGAAACCAACTGGAAAATAGTATTAACACAAATTGGGGGGGTCCATGCCGGCTGGGCAATGCTAGCCGTTGCCAGTCGAAGCAAATAAAACGCTTGCAAGTCGGTGGGCGAGGTGAATCTCCTAGTTTCTCTGATGCATTTTTTGGTGACGCTTTTTCTGATACAGTTCACGCTGTTCATACGGAGTCCAGGTGTTTTGATTACAGAATTCACAGCAGAAAAAGTGCGTCACTCGATTCTTTCATCTGAAAAATCTGAACCGGAAGCCCGTCCCAAAACCTATGGGCCCATTGACTTCTGGCAAGGATCCATGGGCCCAACCAGGGCTGATTGACGATGTGTGGTCTTGGGTTCAAACCATTAAACCAAAGCCCTTCAAAAATGTAGCCATTCTTTACCTGAACATTCTCACCCAATTTGGGTCCTTGCCGCTTTTTTTCCTGGGGGGTTGAACCCATGTGTGTTTTCACAACACGAAAGCCAAGAAAGGCGGCCGCAACTATTTGCGGCTGGGACTCCCCTTACTAACCTTCATCTACCGGGTTTTGATTGTGGCTCAAGTGGACTGGGTGATCAATACTGATCAGATTGGACTTTGAATCGGAGTCATACTGATGGACGAAATCCATTTCGCACCGCCTAAGAAACCCAACGGAGTGATTCGATTCCCCTGAAAATACCAACAAACAAAGGGTTCCCATGGTTTCAAATTGGTGCGAAATGGACTTCGCAACCATCCACAGACCCTCCGCCAACTGCAGACCCAAGCCACAGGGTTGGATGTGCCATTTGCCTAGGTCCTCCAGATTGGAGAGGTTAGAAGAAGTTGGTACCCATTTTTTTCTGGCTGACGTCCATTTTAGTAGGGGAACCCTCCCAACCAAAAAGGGGAGAGAAAGGGCACTACTGGGGGACCTGGCAAGTTGTGTCAAGGCATCTCGTGGCTCGGCCGCTTGAACATCTAGTGGCTGAACAGCAAGAAAGTTCTGAATCATTCTAGGGGTTGATTGAGCTGACAAGCTGAGGAGATGAGGAACGGGTCCAGCCAGGTCTGAGACTGCCATGATTCTAGGGGTTGATTCCTTCTCCATTATTTTCAACCATCGTTCTTTTCAAAAACTGATCGGTGTTTCCAACCTGGGTTTTTGATGGTGCCCTGAAAAGAAGGATCCCTGGAAAGAATGGGGAAGGTAGCCCTAGAATCATGGCCCATGCTTTCACCCTAAACACTGCGTGTGCGTCTGTGTCACATAGTTGACACCAAGTGAGTGATCCAAAGTGTCCAATCCTCCACCTAGCTGAAATTTACCCGACTGGCTACAGAGTGCTTATGCAATAGACTTGTAATACCATTTGTCCTTTAGAGATGACACCCTACATGGCCCATGGTCCAAAATCGCAAGCACTGCGCAAGAAAATCCTGTGCAAATGGATGTTGGCACTTTCCTGGTGAGCGTTTTGTAGCCACACCCGTGTTCGTCATGCAGCTTGCTTCCAGCGCAACCCAGTAGCTTTGGCTCTCGTTCTGTGTTGTGTTGTGCTGTGATGTGTTTTGTTTGGTTCTGTGGTTTACTTGCTTCTCGGTTGCTTTCTGCTCCTCTGCTAAAAGTTTAACTTTTAGTGGTTTAATGGGAAACCCATTAATTGGCAAAAAGCTCAAGTCCTAACATCCAAGCAAAATGCACCAAAGGCTTGTTTGGTTTGTTGGCGGTTTCGTTGGCCTATCTTTTGATGCGCCAACGAAGCTTCTCAAATGCTCAAAGGCGACCCAAGGCTTGCTTGGAGGCATGTGCCAATCTAGCCGCGCTAAAAGATGAGAACACGTGTCAAAAAAAAAGGTGTGGTCTTCTTTGAGGGAACCCTTCTTTAATGGGTTTAGGAAACTCGCCATTTGTTTTTTTTGTGGGGGGGGTCCCCATTCTGAGAGACGCCCGAATGAGTCGATGTAATGATTCGCTTCCTGAGACTGGCAGAGAAGCTTCCCAATACAAGTCCCTCAAAGTCTCGCAGGAATTGCCAGAGGTACCACTGGAAGGCCTTCTGAATCACTAGGTGAGTGTTTTTCTTTTTTTAATGTTTTTTTTTTCCCCCGAGGGTATCTTTTTTTGGGTTGGTTTACAGGGAGACCAAACGGAAAACCATTTTGGGCGGTCCGAATCTTCCCTAGAGACAACACGCCCCGTTCGGAGGCAAAGGTATGGCCAACCAAACAGTGAAGCTGCCTTCAAGCAACTGCCAACGTGTATTCCCATCGGTAAGGTATATGGATCTACAACTGAAAGGGTGCTAAAGACTTGGTTGACGTTGGATGGGGAGCAAAAATTCAAACTTTAGCAGGTAAGTGGGGGTTTCCCACTAAACCACAATAAGCAAAATGTAAAATGTTTCCCAACAACAACCATGAAGAGTCCGAAAGGAGACAACGAGAGAACAACCGCATCCAAGCCGGATTTTAGAAGGAGCGCGTTGAAATTCCCTCCTGGACTCCCGGCAGCAAAAACCTTCAGGGTCGCTAAAAAGACACCACTTCTTTTTTGCAAGGGAGGGTGCAGGATACTGACACGTGGCAACCCCCCAAGACAAAATGGGGGGGGGAAGGTATGTGTAAGGTCACAGGGCATATCTTAGGACTTCTCCAGCGGTCCCCCCCCCTTCCGCCCGAGGTCTCATCCATGCCTCTTGGGCTCGACGGTGAGGATTGATGCGCCTGCTTAAAGGAGGCCAAACCCCCTTATGTACACATACATATTGTTTTATGTGTCCCTGAATCAGAATAGAAAGCCAATATAGTTACACACCCCGCAAAACACGTTGTTATATATATATATATATATACACATAAGTATACATGTGTTATTGGTGTCCCCGTTTTGCTTGGTTTGAGCGCACAGGCTGTATAGTCTTTGACGAGTTTGATGATTTTGCTTGGTTCGAGCAATTCGCCTCGGCCCCAAGGGCGCTCAGATCTCTGGTCCAAAGAGAATCTTCGCTTTTCCCCTCTCCCAACCCCCTCCCCAACCAAAATTTTGCCGGCCCGCCCACCCATGTCGGCTGGCCCAAAATCCTGTCCGGCGAGCCTTGAAATTTTCGGGGTTCGTCGGCGTCCAGCTCCATGGGTCCATTTTTGTCGAAAATACTAAAAAGTTTTTTTCCTGAAAAGCATGTCTGAAACTAGGCTCAGGCCCAGCCCAACCAGCAACCCGCCTGCTGGAGGCCTGTCAGCCCAGCCCACCCAGCCTCAGGCCCAAGCTTGTCTGAAACAGGCCTAGCCCAAGCACGGCCCCAAGCCCAGCCCAGCCTGCCCAGCCCAGGCCCCGCGCATCTCAGGGCAAGCCACTAGGCCGGCCCCCAGCCCCCAGCCCACCACCACCCTCAGCCCAGCGTGCCAAGGTAGCCCCTCAGTCCGGCTGCCCAAGCAACTCAGCCCAGGCTGGCCAGGCCTTGACCTCCTGCTCGCGTCTGGCCCCAAGTCATCCAGCGGTTCGGCGCAGTCTGAGACTGGTCTCAAAGTATGCCAGCCTGAGACTAGCCTCAGGCCCAGTCCCTCAGCCCGCCTGCTCGTGTCTTACGTGTCCCCAGCCCAAGTTCCAGGCGCAACCAGCAGCGTAGTCCGGCAGCCAGCAACCCATCCATGGCTTCAGGCCCAGCCCAAAGCCTGCCCAGCCCAGGCCCCAGCATCTCAGGGCAAGGCTCACTCAGCCCAGCGTGCCGTGTCTGAGACTGGTCTCAAGCTATGCCAGCTACTGAGCAGCCCGGCTGACCAGGCCCCTTCGGCGCAGTCTGAGACTGGTCTCAAGGTATGCCAGCCTGAGACTAGCCTCAGGCCCAGTCCCTCAGCCCGCCTGCTGGCGTGTCTTACGTGTCTCAGGCCCAGCCCAGCCAGCAACTCGCTACCCAGCCTCAGCCCATCCAGCGACCCGCCCAATGTGCTCAGCCCAGCCCGCCCAGCCGAAGTTCCAGGCGCAACCAACAGCGTAGTCCGGCTGCCCAGCAGCTAGCAACCCACCCATGGCTTCGCAGCCTTGTGGCTGAGACTAGCTTCAGGCCCAGCCCAACCAGCAACCCGCCTAAGCCAACCCCACCCAAGCCCACCCTGCTTGAGACTCGTAGGCCTCAGCCTATCTAGCGCCGAGACTGGGCCTCACCAGCCTGGGCTCAACTAGCGTCTAGCCCAGCCCAGTCCGCCTGCTGGCCAGGCCTGTCTGACGTGTCTGAAACTGGCCTCAGGCCCAGCCCAGCCATAGCCCAGCCCCCTCAGTGCGGCTGCCCAGCCCGCCGTAAACTAGCTTCAGGCCCAGCTCAACCAACAACCCACGCAAGCAAGGTCCAGCCAAGCTGCCCGAGACTAGCTTCAGGCCCAGCGCAGGCTTATCTGATGTGTCTGAGACTAGCCTGTGGCCCAGCCCAACCAGGCGAGGCCGGCTTGTCTGACTTGTCTGGAGCCAGCTTCAGGTATTCGGACCTTCCCAACACTGGATTTCGGTGTTCCTGACCCTTCCCTCAAACTAGGCTGGGCCGAGGCGGGGCAACGCGAAGCGTTTACAATTAAGGTTTCTTGGTACTGTTTTTGTACTTTCCATTATGTTTCTTCTTGTCTCCTTGCTGCTTGTGCATTTTCTTGTCCTAGCCAATTGCCTTATCTTGCAGATTATGTTTTGTGGAAGAGGCACTGTTATGGCAGTGCCTCTCTCTTCGTCTTTTCTTCTTTGCTTCTCTCCTTTGTTCTCTAACTGTCCTTCTTTTCTTTGCAGGATCCTTGTTTTTTTCATTTTGCAACCATTCTTGCACGAATGCCTTGCAATGTAAGGTAGTTGCAAACCAAAGCCCTAAACCTTAAACCAGCTCAAGCCTTAGAAGCCTTGCTTAAGTCCTTTGAGAATCCTGGAGCGTAACTGTCAAGAAGCCGGGTATCTGGATCCAAGGTCAAAAGTGTGAGGGAAATCTTGGATCGATGAATGCCACCCGTCAAACCTGAATACCGGCATTAAGGTTTCTTGGTACTGTCATGTAGATTCTTAATTCCGGCTAAGATCGCCGAGTCTGTTTTAAGATGGAGACTCGCCCAAAATTTGCTGGCCAGAAGGTCAAAGTGGAGAGGGACTGCAAACCAACTGGCGCTGGCGGTAGCAACACAAATGCAAATAACAAGGGCATTCACGCGTTATCCATGATCAATCAGCCTACGTTGTTGTGGGGAGCGTGCCCGAAAAGCGAGGGATCCCCACCAAAAATTACCTCTGATCAACTAAACACCGTCCCAATCGCTGCAAGCCCTTTCAAAGACTAAGAGTCTAAGCCATGTAAAGACGCATACCCCTTGGGCCTCCTTTGAATCGATCAACTCCCCATCCCATGCCAGTAGCCAAAGAAAAAAAACGGGTTCTTTCAGTTGATAACTAGTTGAATTTGAAAGGGGGGCTCCTTGTCAAAACACGAAACAATGCAGGCACCACTGTGGAACTACGGGGTCTTATGTATCTGTAAAACATTCACCCTGCCAAAAGGAAGGCTCCCTTTGAAGCGACCCGAAAGGTGATTCTATATCAGCCGAAAAGGGAAACATCAAATCCCTATGCTACCCGTCAGATACGTGGGTTTTGAGTATCGCATGTTTCTCGGGTGCCTCGAACGGCTCGTCCACGATCCTGGCCAGCATGTTGGGTTGTCGGCTTCTTGTTGGCTTCCTTTGTTTTTCGATCTCCTTGGCTTCCCGGCGTCAAACAGTTCGGCAACCACCAAACAGGGTTCTGACACATGTGGATGGATTCGCATGGATGAAAATCCTGCACCACCTAACAATGGCTTCCCATTACCCGCAAAACAGTGGTTTGCTATCCCTTTCCCCAAAAAGGGTGCCAACCCCACAAAAGATGGCCCGCAAACAGGTATGAAGCTGATTGGTCGGACAAATAATGTGGCAATTTCTGTCCGCCCACTAGTCCGAACAAGTCGAAAAAGTGGGCGGTGGTCAACCTTAGGACTCCTCTTCAAAAGGCCGCAATGAAACGGGCCCCTGATACTTGGTTAACGTTGGACGGGGAGCAAAAATTGATAAATTTCAACCACTAAGCCACAAAAAGCAAAAAACATGTAACATGTTTCCCAACAACCATGGATAAGGGACCATAGATTTTTGACAGTCCCAACAAATTGATTGACGGCTGGCGACTTCTTCGATGGTCTTCTTCGACAAAAGGAGGCAACACATTGCTTCTCAGGGTTGCTCCTCGACCGAAGCGCCAAGGAACTTGGTCGGAATAGGAAGACTAAAACACACAGGTGGCCTTTTGGACAAATAGGTGGCCCCGGGGTAAATGGAATGAAATCCATCTCAACCAGGGCCCCTATTTTTTGAGCAAACCAACCAAAAAGGACACCTATGCTAAAACATTTGCTCCACCCAAAGGCAGCTTGGAAGTTGTGTTGAGGTACGGGGCAAGCTGGATTTTGCTTCTGAAGAGGGAACTCACACCACGGAGTTCTTTCCTTTGTTTCCCTTGCACCAAAACTAAGTTTCCTCAACAAAGGTCAAACACAAACAGGGTTCATACGAGGTTCCTCCCAACATACCACAGACGATGCAAACCTGAAACTCGATCATTCCTGTGGAAGCTGATTTGGTCACAAGTGGATTGGCCAAAGCCCAGACTTTCTGTTCAAGCCGCCAAGATTGTGAACCAAAAAACCCGTAAAGTGCAGGAACTACCTAAGGAGTTGTACATATATACGGAGTTATACATATGGTCAGGTAGTCAGGAACTCCCTAGAAAACAAAAAAACATTAAGTGGAGTCATACATATTGGGCTAACAAGGCTTGGTGTTCTTTCAAAGGAACAACCTTGGGCTTTGCATCGCACTTTAATGTTGACAACGCATGCACAAAAAGCACTTGGCGAGCTACCCATTGAAAGCTCAGTCTGACCCGATTGTGAGATTCTCCAAATCAGCCATCAAGCAATTGCAGACTTAGTTCATCATTGCGTACCAGGATGGTACCTTAAGATAAGACCGGTTCTGCAGCGCAGCAAATGCACTGGGGCAACGTTGGCTTCTCCCTAGAAGACATGAGAGGGAACATCTGATGCATCTGTTTTCTCACCTCTGGCTCTTTGGACTGCTGAATGTCTATGTCCGAAAGCAGCTCTTTGGCTCTTGGCAAACAAGTGAAGCATCCCACCAGCCACGACATCGGGTCAAATCACGCACGTTGTCACACTCATGAGTTGCAGCTGTCAAGTCGTGCCCAGCGGGCAGCCAGCGGTGAGCTGAGCGAAGCGCAAAAATGGCACCGAGATCATGGGGCATCTGTGGACAAGTAGCGATCTGCCATGCGAGCGCAACACCTCTGCAACGCATTGCAATGCCCAAGAGTTTGAGAGTGTAGCAAGACACATGCAACAGCCAAGTCGCCTTCGCTTCAAAGGCTTCCAAGTCAGGCCATGCAAACGCCCGACATGGATTCAGCTGGCTTACAGGGCGAGAAGCACCCGACCTCTGTCCAACGGGCGCAGGCGCTGAAATCCTGAGAACATGTGCCCGGGCCCAACGCCGATTCCCAAAGTTTTGGGACCTGCACCACTTCCATCGGTTCCAAAGGCAGAGCCCCGAGTTCGAGGCGTGGCTGAGCTCAAACAACACTCCGCTGTGTTTGTATTGTGCTGTGACTGAACGCCGACGAACGTGGGTCAATGCCCGAAGTTCCCGTTTTGGAGCACCAAAAGCTTCACAACAAGTTTCGTGGAGGTTTAAGGATTTCAGCTGCGCTTTCTTTGGCCGCAGGAGAGCAGTGTGGCTCCAATGCCCAAGCCCTGGAGGTGACAAGGCTCGGGACAAGGCTCAATGGAATGCCGAAATCCGCATTCAGCGAATCTCAGCCAGGATCAACGTGCCGGGCGGCATACAGGCTATGCGGTTGGTCAAGTCTTTCAGGGATCGATCTGAGGCATGGACGCTTCAGCCATCTCAGCGAAACGGCCTACGCACAAAGTCAATAGTAAAGAAACTAAGATGCTCTCGCTTTCCTCTGAGCCGAAAGCAACCCTGGGCACATGTCCGGTTCGGGACCCACTTCATGTGGAAACTGCCGTGACAGAACATATCAAGTGGACATGCGAACACCGACAAACAAGCGGCTGCTGCTTCGCACGACAGCTCCAACGAGGAAGCAAGAGCACGGTCTCAACATACAAACTTGCCGCAATCAGATCAAGAGCAGCTCTGAACTCAACGATTCGCATATGTATGGCCATGTTCAAATAGTTTGGAAGTCTCAGCTGTTCACGTTACCCAGAAAATAGCTATTCACGGCACAGCTGCATGTGCCTCAAGCCCGGCATCGCTTCCCCCCCCCAAATCCAAGGGCTGCGAAGCGGCCAACCGGCGTCAACCGGCCTCACGGATTTCTCCTGGGCTCGAAGATTGGTCCCGGGCGTCGGAAGAATTCAAATGGGTTGTGTGGTGACAAGTTAAGTCATAAAGAAATGATTTACTTGAGGCTCTCATATTTGTTTGTAAACTGCGTGCTGCTTTTCTTGTAACCGATGTTATAATCTGCTGGGTGAACATCCTGGGCCAAATATGGGCTGGTCATTTTTGGGTACTCGCGTGCTGGTAGGTTCTTTACGGTATAGGCAATCTGGTCGGGGCATGCCACATGAGAAACGTCTGTTCACTTTGGGAATCCAAATTGGATGGATCTTGGCCCTTGTTCATGCAGAACAATACAGCGGTCATGCGGATATGTGAGATCAATTTGACATTGAGTAAGGAAGCTGTTCTTCAATAGGGGGCATGAACACAATAAATAAACTTGGCTGAACAACAACTTCCTTCACAACTTTCCCTATATTGAGCATCACCCCACCCAAAGAAAACTCACTTTAAAAGGCCAGAAAAACGTAATGGTTCAAACCACTCTTTGGGAAAAATATTGGGGACCACCTCTTCCATACGTTCGGTGGAGATTGGGAACGTGGCTCGGGCTCAGTCTGTCAACCATGCGGGTGGACTGATCGCCTTTCTACGACTCCACATGGGCGAGTGGGCCGGGCGACACATGTCTACCTGATCTGTTCAGACTGCTTATGTTGAAGCCCCGGGAATTGTATTTTATAGACCTTACCCACCCCCTCAAC